ATGCTTTTGGGTTTGGTGAGTTGGCAGGTCCTGATAACTGTATCCGCATCGCATCACAAACCTGAAGTCCAATTTCTTTTTGGTTTGATGAGTGGTTTGATCCTGACGCATTTATCCGCATCGCATCACAAACCTGAAAGTCCGGAGTGCTCGAGTACTCTGTATAACTTGTATATGTGTTTGGTTTCCTACTAGAAGTAAACTCAGATAATTTGTTATAACTTTGATTCCGGTGTTTTCAATTCCTTTCTTAATTTAATAGAGATCCAGCCTCATCCAACGAACGGCGCGTAGCAGAAGTGTTCTACTCCAACAACGTCTGGGCATGTTGAGAGCTGCTATTACACAAAAGGGGAGTTAGTTGGTTCCGTAAGAGCCAGCATGCGGGACCGGCTGTACAAGGTTTCTGTGAGTGTTAAACGAGTGTAATGTGTAACGTTAATGTCAGCTAGCTAACATTAGCTAACAAGGTACTAGTTTTCTGTGTACCTTGTCCTTGCCAACACTAATGTTATCCACAGCATACACAGCGATCACGCAGTTCTTAACGAGAAAACTAGTTGCTAAAACAAAACACGGGAGTGTAACTTGTTAGCTAATGATAGCTAGCTGACATTAATGTTACACATTACACTCGTTTAACACTCACCGAAACCTTGTACAGCCGGTCGCGCATGTTGGCTCTTACCGAACCGACTAACTCCCCTTTTGTGTATTTGCAGCCCAGACGTGTAATGATTTTCACCTCATTCTGAAAGAAAGAGGTGAAATGTGCTAAGGTGACGTGTATTGTGCGAGACCAGAGATGTAGTTCATAGGGCGGTTTCACACACAAATAAGTGTTACTTCACAGTTTTACGACAAACTTTTGACTTGCAAAATTATCTTTTAAATTGACAAACATCATATGTGTAATTCATGGCACAATTCAAACGGGATCGAAAGATAACATTTCTCTCGCCATTGACTTCAATTCATAATTTTTCCGAAATAAGGTCCCATGGAGTTCCACCGGAAAGGGAGGGACTTCGGCTCTCTATACCCTCATGGGGGCGTGCTCATGTGATTGGCTTAGAATGGAGGAGACATCTGATTGGCTATAGATAGAAACAATTACAAGTACGAATCGGCTGACCGTCAGGGGAGTCTCAAAAAACCCACACACGAATGCACAGCGATCCATGCACAGAAAGCGGTTTGTGTTTGCAGGTTCAGCGGTTTAAACGGAAAACAAATATGTGTGGATCAAAAATACATATGTAAAACTTTTTTCTGTATTTGGATTTTATTTACATGTATATGAAACGGAACACATTTGTGTGTGCATTGACAAACACAAGTGTGAATCCTTTTGCGGATCATAAAATACAAGTGTAAATCCTTCTGTGTGCATTTGTGTAATATGAGACTGATCTAAACCCATACGGTTTGGGATAATAAGTTGCTTCTGGTTCAGAGGATGATGGAATAGACCGAATAGACTCGAGCCGAGTTCTCATTGGTCCCTATTCTTTAGAGAAGATCGGGAAATGTTAAAATCAATAGGCACGCAATGACTCTAAATAATAATGATCACGTCACGTCGCCTACCAACGCAGATTAAAACTAAAGTAACAAATCTGTTTTTAAAATGTAAGAAGTAGAAAGTACAGGTATTTGTGTTAAAAATGTAAGAAGTCAAAGTAAAAAGTCGTCAGAAAAATAAGTAGTGGAGTAAAGTACTGATACCAGAAAACTGTACTTAAGTACAGTAACGAAGTATTTGTACTAGGGCTGTGCGATTATGGCAAAAATCATAATCACGATTATTTTGGTCAATAATTGATATCACGATTATTAAATACGATTATTCATTGACTTTGAAAACATCCATTTATTGAACTTTAAAACAAATACAAATAATAATTTGAACAGTATCTTTTTAACTGTTGATTACCCTGAACGTATAATTCAACTGAAAAACCAATACAAAAATAAATAAAATAAATGATACATTTATATTCACATTTAAATAAATAATATCAAAAATAATAAATACCAATAAACAAGATCAACAAATATTTTGGAGCGCACTCCAACAAGCTACTAAACATATGTAAATATGATAAATACAAATAAATTAGACTAAAATAAATTAGATCAAATATGTTGCAGTGCACTGTCACAACCTAGCAAAGCAAAATAATTGTTTTTTTCGATTATGTTGTTTTCGTAATTGTGGCAGGCCAAAATCGTAATTGCGATTAAAATACGATTAATTGCACAGCCCTAATTTGTACCCCACTAATTGCCACCTCTGGGGCAATAGTTTTAAAAATGTTGCCCTTTGGACAATTTTGGAGTGGTTTTGAGGGTTATTGATGCTGAGTCCATTTCTGACAGTTTCAGTTTTAACCAGAAAGTGGCCATATAAGCTTGGGCTGATTTTGACTAACATGAGTTTTGTTGCGACCGTTGGATATAGAGAACTGTTATCAGATTTAGACTTATACCTTTTGTCTCTCTGCAGCAGAAAGGTGACTATTCTCAGCAGTTCAAGTTTAGCCATTCATCTCGGCGTTATTTATTAGATGCACACAGGTCAAGAGACTTGAGGACTGGAGAAAGAAGGGGCGTGACTTCCAACGGTCTTATACCCCAGGTAGTGACATCACAATCATGTGCTACAGCGCTATCCAATGAACACAGTAGTAGTCGCAGCTACTTATACAAACAATATGGTACACAGTATTACATGGAGTCATACAATATACATGTCTCTGTATGTTATACCTCAACAAGAACACAAGATGAAAATGATAACTTCTACTGTGGACAATTCTTTTTCGAATAAATAAGCAATCTGTACAATCCAGAGTCCACTCAATCTTCCAAATCGACCCAAAATAAATCCAAACCAGCCCACAGAGTACAACAAAAGCCACTTTCTTGGGCAGGGCTGATACATTAGTTAACTAGACAGATTTAGATTTTCAATAGGTAGGATTTGGAGAGCTACTAACTAAAGTAATACTATTTGAACACATAATATTCATGCACAGGTTTTGTCTTTCAATTATGAGTTATTGTGCAATGATAATCGTGCACACAGGAGTAGGCCTGTAACTTTTTGTAAACACTGTTTTGTCCTGTTCTTTATTAAACGCATACCTGTAGTAGTACCTGTGTGGCACAGTTTGAGCTTCTTATCAGTCAGTGAGGATTGGCGGATTTCTCTCTGAGTCAGGATTTCGACGTTTTCATAAATCCAAAAGTACAGTCTCGTGGACTCGTGCTCAAATGTCTGAATCCTTCCTGATTTGTCTTAGTTTCACTTTTGTTGCATAAACGCACATCCTGTATGCGTATCAACTCTAAATGGTAGTATCGTCCTTTGACATCCACAAGATGCCACTATTGGACCAGAAAACAATCAAGTTGTTAAGTGATATCATTATCCACCTAACATTAGTATTTGAAATGTTTAATTTCATAATAATTTACATGCAAGAAGCAAAATCAACCACTTGTGCATCATGGCACTATATTTGCACCTTTTCTGGGGAGTTACTTCATCTTCCACAAAATCTCTGTTGTGATTGGTCAACGCTTGATGCGTGCGAAGCGGGAGCGTTACAAAGTGATGTCATTATGTTACGAAAGTAAACAAATGGAGGCGATTCAGGCAGGGGGGATGGGTGGACCAATTATGTTTTTTCTTCTTCTTTCCTGTAGTGTGTTATATTGGTTTTTGTGCATGTACATGGTTTGCAAAGGGAAAATGATCTAAGTCCAGGCAAGAGTATTTTTGTTCCATTTATTTCCACATTAAATATACACCAAACAAAGGTACATTAACAGGTTTCTAATTCCTTTGCTGAAGCCTTTCCTATGGCTTTCCATGTTTAATCCTGCATGGATCGGCCGGGTAGAAAACCATATGCCTACTAGTGCTCTGGCTCCCACCACCACCTGTCGCCAATATATACAATTTCACCAGGTGCCCAATTAACCCAGTGCCCAAAGATGCATTACAAATAAAAAGCATAAAACTACTTTAACTAACTTAAATAATATGACTTAATAAAACATTACAAAAACAACAAGAAAATAAATGTTTAACTATTCAATAATATAAATCAAAAATATAGCTCCAACATATTCTTCAAGGGATGGTTCAAGCACTGTGTTGTAGATTAATTCAGTCTGCTAATACATTAGCAGAGGATTACAGATCTTAACTCATCTTTCCTTTTTTACATTTTTGAAATATTATTCCAACTTCCAATCACAGTAGTGTGTACTTTTGATTACTTGCTCTTCTCTAGGTCCATATTTCACATCTTGTTCAGGCATTGGATTGAATCATAACATATCATGTTTTGTGTTGCTTCAATAATGTCAGGATGATCTTGAATGTTGCAAACCACAAATTTACTTAGCAAACTCAACATGTAGTGTTTACTCAGAAAGTCCCAAGTCTAACACTACACTACTAAAAATAAACATTATGATTGACACATTTTCACTTGAGATTATTAATGACTGGATGAACATCTGGTAACCTTTTATAAAATTCAATGGCAATATAACTGAATATGTATAATACAAATATTTGATTGAAGTATCCACCTATAGGTCTTTTACCACAGTGTACTTGAGATTTGTGTTTATATAAATATGTATTTATTTTATTCTAACATGGTGCAATTGTCACGAAACTTCCCACTTGGATTAATAAGTATTGTGATTGATTGATATGATATCAATATATATATATATATATATATATATATATACATATATAGTATACACATCTGTAAATGTAGGGAGATGAATACATTGCAAATGATCAGTGCAGGAATCTCTCTCTCTCTCTCTCTCTCTCTCTCTCTCTCTCTCTCCTCTCTCTCTCTCTCTCTCTCTATCTCTCTCTCTCTCTCTCTCTCTCTCTCTCTCTCTCTCTCTCTCTCTCTCTCCTCTCTCTCTCTCTCTCTCTCTCTCTGTGGGTGTGGGTGTCTCTCTCCCAGAGCTGCTTTCTCCTGCCCCCCCTCCCTGATTCCTCCACCGGCAGCGATGCAGATGGAATACACTGAAGCTAACGTCAGACTCCGCAGAGTTAATTGTAGTAATTAATGTCATACTTCTGTTTCATTTGCGAGGATGGTGTCGCCCACTGAAGCCGGGTAATCAGACTCAGAGGCCGGAGCGGCAGGGAAGGCTATATCTGCTTGGAGTTCAAGCAAGGACTCCTTGGTTAAATATCGGCCTCCGTGCAGGATTCTATTGGGCCAATTGTGGATATTTTAGGGCGTATTTGAACCGGATTCTCTCGGCAGTGGAGGTGGCTTTAGGTGGGCTCGGTTCTTGATGCCCGGAGGGCCGGAGGATCCAACATTAAGCAGCCCAGACTGCGGAGCCCCGGAGTAGGGCTCGAACACCGGGGAGTACAGAAGGTATGTCGGCTCTGAGAAAAACAACCTTTCTGTTCATCGTGTCCGTGTGTGAAACACCGTTTTAATAAGTTTAATTAACGGGATGGTTAAACCACCGACCAGGCTGCTCAACGTCGATCCACATGTTGTTTAATGTTTTGTGTTGGAGGAAGAAGATATCTGGTGGCTAACTGTTAGCCTCGTAGCATTCCATTGTCACAGCCCGTTGGAGCTAGCTATGCTAACAGACTGGCTTGCTGTGAAATAGGAATTCATTCTAACGTTACATTTAACACACACGATCCTTCGTTTGTATTCTCGTTTCTTGGTTGGTTCAATATATGTCTGTGGATTACTGTATGGTGTTTTAGACGCGTCGGATTGCTTTCGTCTTGTTAGCATCTTATGCTAACAGCGGTGTTACCCCATAAAGCAAGGAGAAGCTTCATTAGCAAGTTAGCATTAGCTTCGTTACCTGGTTGCAACACTACAAGGAATCTCAAAATGTCTCCTCTGACTCTGTCATTTTGTCGGAGCAGTTCACTTCACAAAAATAGAAACACGAGGACGTGACCCGGAAAACTCTCCAGTTTATTTCGTTTGATTGTTTTAATTCAGCCATAACATTATAGCATGCGCGTGCGTGTGTAGCATTCACACGGCTCATGGTATGAGGGGTTGTTAGGTTGAGAACCAGACACACCGTGAAAACAGTAAGTTTAAATACTTAATACACATTTTAACCACTTTACAACAGTGTTTAAAGGACATTTACATGTCCAAAATAATCAGCTGTTCTATTAATGGGTTTTTATTTACTTCAACAATAACAAATTGAACAACCCTTTAACAGTATTTGCTAATTACGACACACAATGTGTTAATATATTGTTAATGTTGGATACAATTTAGCAAATGACATTGTGGAGCCGAGGATGGTGTGATGGAGAAGACGCTCATGTTCATAAAAACAAATAGCCCATCTTTATTTGGGGTATTGATAACATATGTTTGGGGATTGGCTAATAGAATAGCTAATGCCTGCTTTACCACTTATTTAGAACCATTGAATTAAAGATATGTGTATTGTCCCCCTTTTTCCAAAGTTGTTAATTGAAATGCCACAGAAGCTTCTTTTATTAAAGGGTTTGTTAATAATCTATGAAACATGCATAACAAATTGAAGTAATGTTCAGTACTGAGACCACTGAGTCCTGGTTAGCAGATTAATTAAGACAAGTCTCAAATAGTGTTGTGATTACTACTATTAGAGACGGTATAGTTAGTATTAGGGCTATAACAAATGTAATATATGTTTTACATTCAAAACCTAAGGCAACAAAAAGTTGTGTTTGGCTCAAATGTTGTTATGGTAGTATGCATTAGAGGTGCCTTTTTAGTACTTTTACAAACATGTTTACTTAATGAGATCTTTGATAAATAATGATCAGTAATGTGAATAGCATGTCTAAGTGCAGCGTTTAAAATCAGGAGATTACATCTATATTATTTCACAATATCCAAAATCTAAGCAATATTTATTATCATATGATATCGATAAAATATTGATATATTGCCCAGTCCCAGCCGAGCATTTTGGATATTAATTTTAAACGTGAACTTCAACATTGTAAATAAAGTTTTTAAACTACTTAGTACAGCCCTAGTAAGTACAGTTCTTTACAGTACACAGCAAATTCTCCATCCTTTTTGTTTAAATGTAGATTTTGAAAGTTATGTAAATGTAATTCCTTTATGTGATTGTGCACTACTTTCTTCACTTTCAGTTCTTTTAAAATGTATCTCCACAGTATATTTGATAATTAGTATGATTGGTGCTCGAGTGCGTGTCAGTTACTTATTGTTGCAGATCTTACGTAAAGAACGTGACTGAAAGTATTCAGTATGTCAGTGAGAGGAGTTCACAGAATATTTCCTGTTTTCCTCTACTTCTGTTTTTGTGTCATAGTGAACGCCAAGCCAAAGTCCATTCACAAATCTGGCAATTAAATGTGACCTTTATCAGCAGCAACACGCCCAGTAAAAGTGATTCCAGACATGTTTTGTATTGTCAGTCAGTTGTTCTTTTCAATGACAAAAACAGACTTTAAGATAAAGACCGTTCCTTTTACTGATTGAAAACACCAGAAGAGTCATTCAGCTGAAGAAAGTAAATGGTCACGTTTATTGGCTATCTGTAAGCTGCTTTACTGTTTGTGTACGGCCAACAATGGTTTATTAGAGGCATCACTCTGGATTGTTACAAGTTGTGAAAGAGACGCTGGTATCGTATTCAGCTTGTGAGTATGCATGTGTCTTAATAGCAAAATATGCTCTTGTAATCACCTGCCATTGTAAGAATTACCACAGAGGTCATTGTGACTATTTTCCAGATGTTTAGACATTCTTTTAGGGTTATCTTCTGACCACCAGATTATGTTGTTCTGATTACAAGATCCATGACCGTTAGCTGCTTCTGTTTCGGTGAATAAGCCGATTCAGAGCGCAGGATGAATCAAATGTCATTGTTAATAAAATAAAATAAGATTTAAATAAGGCTGCAGATTCTAAAATCTAACTTTTTTAAAATTCCACTCGCAGGTGAGGAGCAGAGAAAGCACTAATACGCTTCAGTAAAAGTATAACACTGCAGCATTGTGAGATCTTTTATGTAAGGCTTTATCACCACCATAGTTTCAGTTTGTCGCACAGGTTTCATTCAGACGAAAGCTAAAATATTGGTTTGATGATGAAGGGGAGGATGCTTCATGACACATGGAGTGTTGAATCATCCTCAACCTGAGTGAGTCAAATTTTGCTGCTGGTTTGTTATACAGTTTTATAAAAGATTTAGTTTTAAATAGTTACGTTTTTATTCAAGAATAGATGTTTTACTCTTTGGAAAATCTCTTATCTATTTACTTAGATGTCTATTTAGTATACTAAATTATATTCTAAGACGGGTTTTATACGGGTGCTTAAAAACACATGACATTTCATGTGGTATTACATTTTCCAACATCTGTTCGGTGATGGAAAAGCTTAGATGGCCTAAATTCGGCTTTGAAAGATGCAGGGGAATCATCTGCAAGCTTAACTGTTATGTTTTCTTCACCTTAAAGCATTGAAGTTGAAACTTTTTGGTGATTAAATAAACACTGTTCATTATTGTTTAGCCAAAATATGAATATTTGTTCCTGAAGACAGTGATGGACATGTGGTTATTAGGTTTGTTTAAATGCACATTCATATTTAGATTTTACCCAATGTACCAAAACATTCATCCAAACCTAATGTAAACTTTGACCTTTAACCTTACATTCAAGTCTTATTTCCACATCCAGCAGTTACAGGGCAAAATGATAGTTCATACGAAGTAATTATTTCTCTTTTAGCTCCATTTTTAGTCTCCACCTACTCCTGAAATAAATATCTCTCTTTAGCGGCAAAATGCTGCACTTTTTTCGCTAACTGTGTTTGCGTTATACCTTTTCTCTGAAAACGTCATTATGAGCGCTGAGAGTAAATAGGCCAGTGCTTTTACGTTATATTAGCCTTGCACATCTTCAACAATGTATATGAAAACAAAAAACATCTGAAATACCTGATCCTCTCATAGAAAATGCCGCTCCATACTAAATCAAGCACACCTATACGTTTAGCCAGACACAGCCAGTGTTTGAAATGTTTTGACTTCCCCACGGCAGAGCCGTTACTCCGCTCTGCGACCAGCTCAGTCAGTGGGCTTGGTGAGTGTCCATCAATTGGACCTGGCTGCAGGGGAGTCTGCAACAAACCGACCCTCTTCGAAACCCAGAGCCCTTTTTGTAAACCACGTTGTGAGGGTGTTTGCCTATGATCATTTGTATACATCAAATGTTGTTTATGATGCCGTGGCAGCTGCTCTCCTCAGTGCAGACGTCTGACGAAATGCCCATGAAATCGACACACTGGATAATTCGGACATCCGTGATGCCGTGTAGTGCTGCCAGAGCGCACCGGAACGCCACTTCAAACATTGCACTACCCATAAGGAGCCGTACACATGTCGCAATGTCGCAGTTTTTGCCTGGCTGTGTCTTTAGTTGAAAGCCAAGTGGCGATCTGTCATACTGATCATACAATAAAGCCATCGAAAAGAATATGATACAGTACAGTCGAAGTACTTATGGGTCTCTGTGTGTCATTCAAGCTCGGCTCTGTGTGTATGCGAGTGAGCGAGAAATGTAAAAGTTTTTATATAAAATGTATATATATTATTTTTACAATACCTATTGCAGTAAAAAGCTGCATTTGAAGCGATGTGTGTATGTTGCAATAAAAGCTGTGAATTAATTACATTCTACTAACCCCCGTGGTCCAAGCGAACCCCTGTGTTTTCTTTCCTGTTGTAGGAGGAAATATCCAGAATGATTTCCAGATTGTCACTTAAATGTTTGTTGTCTGTTCTTCATATGTTTATGTCAGCTGTTAGTTTTGACAGCATAGATTTTTATAATTAATCAGAAGATGTGTCTGTTAGTCTGAGTATTTGTTGATTCCGGTATTTGTTTGTTTGGTCTTCAGATTCCAATCACCACTGTCTGCATACAGTGCTGTGTTTGTTATCATGTGATATATTGCGTGTGTTTTAATGTGCATTTTAATGTGTGTGTGTGTTACCGTGTAAGTAATGCTGTCCTGCTTCCTCTCAGGTGACTCGTCCCGGTGTCAGACTCAAACACTGAAGCGTTTTAATTTCACAATGTTTCAACAGGAAACTTTGGTCAAACTTTCACGTATTATTGATCACATCCTAGATCAGAAGCAAACTCTCTCGACTGAGTCAGAGTCACGGATAATGTTGTTAAAAGGGACAAACAAACTAGTGAAAGTGGAGAAAGTGCACACTACTTCAATACTGCACTCACATATGAGTGTTGCATAGTGATGTCATTATGTTACAGAAGCAGGAGTCCAATGGAAGCGTTTCAGGCGGGGGAGTGTGGTAGAGAAACTCCCTCTGGAGAAAACAAATCGAGATTTTAGCCTTTGCAGACCATTTACATGCACACAAACCTATACAACACACTACAGTAAAAGGAAACTCAAAAAAGCTGAATATGGCCTCTTATATAAATAAGTCTGAAGCGGTTAAACTAGTGTGTGAAAGCGGCTGATAAACTATTCCAGATTGTTAGGAGAGTGGAGCCTCACAGGCAGTCTATGAACGCTGAATGTTATAAAGTATGACACTACTGACAATCATTTCAACGACACATTTATATCATAAAGGAGTCACTTCATATATTACAGGGTGTCCGCGGGGTCTTAAAAAGTATTAAAAGTTGATAAATCAATTTAGCGAAAATTAAGGCTATTAAAAAGTATTAAACGGCATTTTCCAAGGTATTACATTTTGTAGCTTGTTTCCAATAAGTATATAAATTGTCCAAAGAGGTTGTATTCTACGGTCTGCCTGAATGTAATCATTGCGTAGGTGTGTAGTGTGATTCTGTGTAGTTTATTTATGGCATCCCGTTGGGTTTGACGTCATCTGAACAGGACATCGCTCGCTCACTGCTTGATAGTGCGCGAAGGTCCGTTTACGCCGGTTGTTAAACAACATCGTTATGGGGAAATGCAATGTGTCCAAATGGTTGGAAGATAAGGAGGAAGGACAATCAATACTGTATATAGTCAATGTGAGGTAAAGTGTGTCGCCAATGTAACCGGTTAAAACTCCAAGTGGCGATGAGGTCTTAAAATGTATGGAAAGGGTCTTAAAAAAGGTCTTGAAAGGTTTTACATTTGACTTCAGGATTCCTGCATATACCCTGATTTACTATTAATTGCTTATAAAATAAAAGTGAAAAGAACAAATTCATCAAGAACCAAAACTGGAGTCAGAAGTGATCAGATCTAACCCACATGTGAACCTCCTTCTGGGAGTTCAATAGCGATAGATGTATTCTGAAGTCCCAGTATCAAAAATACTCAGTAAGAGCTTACAGTCTTGCATTTAAATTGTAACTTCAGTTATAGTACTGAAGACTGAAATGATTCATAGTTAAAATGTTCATTATGCAGAATGAGCCATGTCAGTGTCGCTATTATTGGATCATTTTTGACCATGCATTAAATGTAGAGGGTACTTAAATGTTGAAGGTGGTCAATAACCAAATCAAATGTTTTATGTTCAAAATATTCAGAAGAATACAGTAAACAAAGGGCCCAGATGTGTTTTGATATTTTAAATAGTGAAAGTAATGTATCAGTTGAAACCCAATTATATGTTCCCCCATTATTTCCAGGTCAATACACAAGACGAGTTTTTTTTTTTCTCCATGTATGGCTGAACTCAAAAGGAACAATATTAGATGGATTATTTATTTCTTCTTTTTAGTCACCTACAAATCACTTATTTGATGGGAAATGTAGTTCACCTAATGAATTCCCTGTGTCTGCCTGTCTGTCTCCAGGAGTTAGTCTGTCTGATTGGACTCCGTCGGGCCACCAGGCCCCCCCCCCACCATGAACCCTATGAACCAGATGAAGGCGGGACTGGCCAACAACCCACACAGGTAGACAAACGGGCACAAACATATTATTACAATATGAGGTTGTTTGAAAATCAATAATCCAGTCGAAGGCTTTGTTTATAATGTTGCATTAGAAAAAGTGACCACATAAAAATAAATTGTACCGACCTTTTATGGTTTTATACATCACTTAATGTGTGGAGCTTTAAAGAAGACATATTCTATCATGTTCAGGTGTATATCAGTATTTTGTGTCTCTACATGTCTCCATGCTGTAATGTTCAAAAAGCTCTTTATTTTTCTCATACTGCCTGTGCTGCAGCACCTCTTTTCACCCTCTGTCTGAAACCAGAGCCCAGTCTGCTCTGATTGGTTAGCTGGCCGGCTCTGTTGTGAATGGTAAACCGCTTAGAGATGTCGCCCCTTACAATCACGTACAATGTGTTGTAGCGCTAGCCAATAGAAGTGCAAGTGTTACCTGGTGATGTCAATATGTTGCAATAAGCATTTCACAAAATGAGACATTATTTCCTCAGTCATCATTTTAAAGCGCACAGCTGCACCAGCTTACATTGTTTGGTTGTTGCATACGTAGCCTTAAGTGTTCTTAATAATTTATATAAAAAAATACTTATAATGTAATTGCAATACGATTAACAATATTTGAGGTATTTTCGAAGCAGATGTGTACCAAACAAATATGCATATTAAGTCCGTAGTAAAGAATTTGTAGGCCAGTACATCTCTGCAGCGCCGTAATTCTTAATTCAATATTATATTTAACACAAATTCAGTCTTTAAATGAGAAAGGTCCACTCACATCCTCTCTCTGTGTTTGTTTACAGTGACGGTTCGTACCCTTATGACCCCTCCGGCTGGCAGCAGCCCAACAATCAGCCGACAGGATCCCTCTCCGTGGTAACCACAGTCTGGGAAGTGACCAATCCCTCAGCCAGCCAGGTATCATCAAAAGACAACATTGGAATAATGACTTATAATTTCCACAGATGTAAATGAATCAAAAAACAAACAAAAAAGGTTAACTATGGAAGAAGACATATCGGATTAAACATTTGTGTTTTTCTTTGTCTGCCAGGGCATGGGAGGAGGAGTAATGGGGCCCGGGGGCAACCCAGGCGGGGGTCCCATGATGCAGGGCCCTGGGGGTCCGGGCATGGGCGGTGGGCCAGGAGGCTACATGGGTCAGCAGGGCTATGGAGAGCCCAGCAAAGGCTACATGAACCAGGGCATGTACGGCCGGAACACTGGCGGCTACGCTGGAGGACCGGGGGGGTACGCAGGGAGGTGGGTTTCTCTCAACAGAATTCATTAAATATGGAGAGTAACATTTCCAAAATATATATTTGACAGTTATTTCAAATGTCGCTGTCAGTTTTCAGTTCTCTATAATGTTAAAAATGAAAGTGTTCTTTAATGTCTGTTTTTTTGGTACTTACTCTGTATATCCCCCACAGTTAGTACCATATTATATAGTTCTTAGCAAGTAGCACCCTCTTTAAGAAATAGAATAGTTAAACTCTAGTTATGATTTCAAAAAGATTCATAGCATAAATACTGACAGTATTTACATGATTTGTTTTATGTATAATTGTACATACTTTCACTCTGAAGAAAGTAAAACAAACACTAATGTAATCATATCAAATATGAAACATGACTGACATCTCTCGCCAGTTACCCGTCGAACCCCGGCGGCTCCAGAGGCTCTGCTGACTTCTCGCAGGCTGCTGCCGCCGCCGCCGTTGCTGCTGCTGCTGCTACGGCAACTGCCACCGCCACGGCAACGGTAGCCGCCATCCAGGAGAAACAAAACCAGGATATGAACTATGGACAGGTAAAAGGAGGAAAATATAGGGGGTCACTTCCTATGATTCACAGATACACCTGCTGCTGATTGGCTGTCAAATATTTCAGATGTCCTCATGGCTAATTGGTTTTGAAGTAGTGGAATATTTATTCATGTCCAATCACATGACACCGTCCAGATGTTGGCTGCTGATATGTTATTTAATAGTTGTGTTATTATAAATGTTTGCATCACACAAATCAGAAACAATCCCACACAGCCACCACTGGAAACTATTTCTATAAACACTATACAATTAAAAGCATTAGCGTAGTTTTGTATTTATCTTCAACTATGCCGAAATATCAGATTTGAAACCACTAATTAGACATGAATAAACATTAACATTCAAATCTTTATTTAGAATGAAATGACAACGTAATGACTGAAGCCCTGAAGTAGGGATGCCCTGATCAAGTTAGGTTTCCTCTGAACCGAGCTGATGCCTTTTTTTTTCTTTTTTTTAACAAAACAATAAAGTATTAAATAACAATCCCTCTGTAAAACCTTTGGAATGTTCCCTCCTTTTTAAAGGTTTGCAGACTAAATGACTGACAAAAGATAAATTGTCTCAATCTAGCTCAATAAAGCTGATACGATAACTTTTCTATTGCCTTCAGTTCCTCGGTTCTCTACACTACTCTGTACCCTCATCAATATGATACCAAGTACTCATGCTATTATTTTGTTTGTTTTTCAGATGGGAGGGCCGGGTTATAACAACCAGTTCATGTCCCACTCCGGCCCCCGCGGCCCACCTGGTATGGCCCCTGGAGGTATGGGCCACGGGCCAGGACCGAATAGGGGCCCTCCTTCCATGGGCCCCATGTATGGACCTGGGGGCGGCTCCCAGAGGGTCCCTCAACACCCAAACTATGGCCCTGGACCACAGCAGGGTCACCTGAGACCCCCACAGGGCCTCAAACGGCCCTACAACTCCGAGGTAAGATCAGGAGGTTTAATCAGGGTCAACACTTCATCAGAGTAAACACAGACAAAGCTAGATTTGATGGAGTTACAATAGATTATTTGTGTTTGTTTATTTTACATTATCATGAATGATCAGAATGGGTATCTATGATATCTGATAATCACAATGAACCACATCAGAATACATTTTCAGTTAATATATTAACACAACATTGTTTTTTAAGCAAACTTTTGAAATGTACTGTTTTCTGTTTCATATTTGATTACATTTTGGGTAACATGACCCTTCCCTCTATTGCCTGTCGTGTTTGATAGTTATTTTGAGAAAACTGCGGTATAAACCTTTTCGGATAATATTTGTGGTAAGTGCGTCACTGTAATATTTCTGGCAAAATGTAACGATAGTGAAGAGATACAGAATGTCAATGTCCAGCCAGCTGGAAATCATACAGGGCTAAGTTATCAGATCACCTAATAACTAATTATGATGAGATACTTACAAATTCGAATGACTTACACAATCTTTTTCCATCAACATTATTGTACAAAATAAAAAAACATTTCATACATACCTCCTTCTTGTTCCTCAGTCGTTCCCAGGAATGTCTCAGCAGTATGTTGGTCCCAATGTGCACGTGATGTCCGGTCCTGGCGGTGGCGGTGGTTCCATTCCAGGTTCAGGTGGAGGTGCTCATGCGGGACCCGGTCCATACTCTGGCCAAAATATGCAGTACCATCCAGGTATGATGTGAGCAGGAGCAAAGCTTCCGCTGTGTTTTGTTATTTTTCCACTATAGTTTGAAACAAAACAATTGGGAAACTTAAGTTTTGGTATGCAATCACCAAAATATTTTAATCGATTTTTGAGTAGTAAGAAATGGTCAAATCTATGCGCAACAAAGGGTATCAACCCAAAAATTACAACAACTACTGAAATAATAGCACATTTGAATGGCCATCATACACTTCCATCACACTTTACGAGACTCACTCTAAGATTTGTCTCCACACCCGCAGCAGAGTTTCCGTTAGAATTTTTTTTTGCCGGTCAAAGGTCAAACCGTTAAAGTTGAAATCTTCCGGACAAAATGAGAAAAGTGCCGGTCAAAGGTGGTCTTTGTTATTTATTGAGCTCTAAAACAAATTGATATGATTCGATATTAAACAAACTAATTATAGTAGATTAACTACATTATTCAAAAGTGTACAGTAATTTATAATGACACGGGAATAATAAACGGAGCGCTCTCTCCCTCTCCTGACAGCCCGCCAGTATCATGCAGATCGCGGATCCAGTAATGAGTGACCCGACAGTAAAACTAAACATATCTATAACTAGTTTAGGTAGTTTGAGAGGTAATTAAAATAGCTACGTGTGATATTCTAACCTGAAGTGTGTGTTTTGCTCCGCTCACCGCTGCAGGTGATCATGCAGAGCTGCGTGTCGACTCGTCAGCAGCAGCTGATCTCTCTCCCGTCAGATTAGACTTTACTCGCGTTTATCTCCATATCGATCAGATCCAGCTAGTTCTAGCTAATGATATGACTACCTGCTTATTAAAAGACACCTAAACAATAAGCGTCGCTATGCAACCGGGTGAGGCCACAAAATATAGCGCAGCATTATGCATTTGTTTACATGCCCACCGGAACCCCGAGGCAAACCCTTTTCCCAGCTCCATGAATTTAAAGTTGTTGTTTTGTGTTTTCTGATCTTTTCTTTCTGTTTACCTGAAGGTCTTGGTGGTCCAGGCCCCGCCCCTCAGCGATCCAGCTCCTCCCCTTCATATCAGACCCATAAAATGCCCCTCCCACAGTACCCCCCCTCTGGACCCCCAAACTCACAGTACTACAAGGTGAGGAGAGAGTGTGTGTGTGTGTTTCATGTATTTCATATATTTGAATATAATGAGGTAAATACCACATCAGTTGCAAAGATTTGGGTCCAATTTGGAAGTTTAAAACCAAACAAATATGGTTCTAGAACTGCAGATGGGTAGGGTGTCCCTCAACTTGGGCCCCCAAGCAGACATGCAACACCATAATAAGAATACTGTACTGAAAATAGTTTCCTCCAATACAAGAATACACTCTTTTTATTGTGTACTTCAGTATATGGATTTAGAGGACCCACAGTATTTTCAACAAATCATGTGTGTACCTACCTTACTGTCAAAAAGAAGAAAACAAGCAATATGTACAAACCTAAAGACTCCAGATTAAATGATAAGGTAGGCTTACAGAATAGTAGTTTACAAGGCTGTTTGGGTTGAATATATGAAAACACTGAATATAAAAAAGAAAATATATTTCAAGGAGAGTAGGCTATATGAAAAACCAAAAGGCTAATTCAGGCAGCACTTCTACTTAATCCAATTTCTACCCAGAAAGAGCATTCTTTGAACTCGAGGCCATGACAACGAACTGGAAGACTAGCTCTGGTGGCTCTAGCAACTCCTTGTACTTGGCATTGGAGACTTGTGAAGATGAAATGAATTGACATACTGTAATCCTGCTGGTAATTCCCATTTTAAGAAATGTAATAGTAATCTGATAACATATTTTTGTATCTTATTGTGAGGGAATACAGTTACCTTTTTTGTGTCCTGTTTAAGTATTCCCATTAAATCCGTTACTCCCAAAGCCTGTTGCCAATGAGCCAAATGCACACATTCACTTGACCTCCGTGCTCAGTTTCCTCTACAAAGGAGGGGGACATTTGTTGGGACGGACAGAGTGACATTTAGCGTAAAAACATTAACATGTGTTGTTGTTTTGGTCTGTGTTTTTCTGCAGCAGGAGCAGTTTAATGGTCAGGGTGGAGGTTTGAGTGCTCTGAACACAGGAGGTCCCGGCGGGGTGTACAACTCCTTCAATCAACCACCTGGGGTAAAATGCAGTGTGTGTGTGTGTGTGTGTGGCTGAGTGCTTTACTGTAGCATTTCCATTTTCCTCTATAAACTGATACTCTAATAGGGTAAGCCAATACGCTGCAGGGGGAGTTCTAAAAATAGTGCGAGTCACCGCTTAATAAATAAATACTTTTTTCTTACCTGAATACAGAAAATAAAATGCTTAACATGCATTTATAAGCTTAACATTACATTTATAAATACATGTTTTTATTGCCAAAATTATTTATTTGAATTTTTAACATAACAATACAAAAATAAGAGAAATAATAACAAACATGCTTAATCTGTAAAATACAAGGCAGTCTTTTGAAAACATTATGCAGTAAAGAAAAGACACACAATTACACAGTATTGGGAACTGCACCGGCAATGCATCTATTCATCCTCTTGACATAATTACTCTGTAGCTATGTTAGTTTGACAATAAAGAACCTTGAACCTTGAACATTAGATACATTAAGATCCTTTACATAATCAATGAAGGGCCTCCGTACAATCTCAAACACATGCTGTTTAGCTCTTGATATATAAGATATCTTCACATGCTGCAGGATCTCCGCCCCATGTAGCGCATGTTATAAGGATCGGTGAAAGAAATCCAACATTCAGAGTGCATTTTCTATTTCTGAAGTGTTTCAAAACTTCTGATCTCTTGTCTGAAGTGTTCCTGGTGATTCAGGCGCCGTTTACACGAGGAGAAAACTGCTTGTATCTGCATAGTTTCGCGTGCGTATAGCCCTATTATTTACACGAGGCCGATAGAAACTGACCCCACAAACGATAACGGGTCCCAAGGTGGATAGATTTGCAAACGAAACGCTCTGGGGGGGTCAACCGAGTCCGTGTAATCACCTCTATACGAATATTTCCTGAAAAAATAGCGATAGCCCCGCCTCTCCTGCTCACTGCTGTAGCAACTATCAAAAATAGCTGTGTTAATTAAACGCACAAGGGGTTCTTGAATGAAATAATATTATAAAAGGCAAACCAGAATTGTTAACGCCCAATATACTCCTTAAACAAAATAAACAGAGTCAGATTTCATGCATTGATCCATTATATTGACAAAGGAGCGATCTCACCCGGTGTTTGTAGAGAATATCTCTCTTTCTGAGCGCGTCCTCTCCACGGAGACGTGCTTCTTGGTCGGTCGATGCAATATCCACAGATTCGGTTTCTTTCAGTTAACTTCCCCGTTGCATTTATCCATATATTTACATGCTGAGGAAATTACTATATCCCGCTGAATAACAGCAATCACCACACACACTTCCTCCTGTCAGTAGCTACTGCTAGTGCTACTGCTACTGACCATGCTACAGATGTTAGTGCAAAATCTACAGCTCCTCTACCACAACCATCAGTAACAAGTGGACATGGAGAATTACATGAACTACATGTTGCTAAATCCACCGCGGGGCTTAAACAGAAGGGTAGCCATGGCAACATTGCTGCAGGGCTGCTCTTCTTCGCTGCTTTTGGTGTATTTTGGCGGAAGTTACAGCGCCACTTACAGTCCCGGCATATGTACTACAGCGTTTCCAGCGGCCTCGTTTGAACAGACACGTTAAATGAAACGAATGCATGTGAACGGAAGACTTTTTTGAATACGCATACTGTGCATAAACGCAAACGTTCCCGTGTGAGCGGGGCCTCAGTCTCCGTGTGTCAACAGTCTCTGCGTCAGAACAAAGTGAACTCTTCTCTCCAAGGCAAACACTTACCTTTTTTAAATCGCGCTGTTCATAGACAGTTTGGGTTGTATCGCAGCAGTGTTTTATATCAATTTTGGGGATGAATTGTTCCAAGAGGCCAAATTGACATCGGTATATACATTGACCAAACTCAATGTTCTATCTATTATTTTTAACAATTGATGACTGATACTTCAAAGACTGAATGTTATAACAACCATATCGCCCAGTTACATTCGACACAAACACCACATTTGAAACTAATTGGTTTCAGACAGAGAATAACGGGAAGTTTTCTTCCTCCTTTCAGTTCTGCCAACGTGGCAGCCATGCAGCTAAAATGAACTGCTTCTTGCCTGTTTGATTCACTGTGGAGATCATTACTTTGGCTAATGGTTAACATGTTGACTCTATGGTTACTAGTGCTATTCTGTCTGTGACCATCATTTATATTAAAATACATTCTCTGTGTCTCTCAGCCGGGTAGAGGCCTGCCTGGTTATCCCTCCTCTCCGGTTCCTGGGAACCCGACTCCTCCCATCACCCCCAGCAGCTCAATGGCCCCGCCCTACATGTCTCCAGGCAACAGTGATGTCAAGCCGCCTCCCTCCTCCTTCCTGCCAGATATCAAACCCAACATGGCCGGTCTGCCGCCTCCTCCTCCTACAGGTACATACACACACAACAGAGTTCATGAAAACACTGAGATTGATGCATATTATGCCAAAAATAATAACTGAATCCATTATTTTTTCATATCATAAATCTAAAATGTTTACTTTTAAGAAATGCTGGAAACATTTATAAATCCTCACGAATAACAACTTTGTAGAGATTCCCTCTCCCAGAGTCGTCAGACCAGATAAAAATAGTGTGTAAAGAATCGACATGTAATGAAATTACAGCATAGACAATCAGGATGAAAAAAAATATAGATGGATAGTAAATATCGATGAGATTAATGGATCTAGAAAGATGTCGAGCAGCTTCCAGGTGTTGCAGAGCAACCAAGCCTGAGCCATACCACCTCCTCTCCACCATGTAACTTGGGAATAAGGCGCTTTCACACCAGAGTACTTTTCCCGGGAATAATTCCGATATTTCCTGGGATTTTGCGTTCACACCAAAAAGATCTGGAACTAGAACTTTTTTTGCGAACCGTTTCACCCCTTTTTAGTGCCTGCTAGAGAGCAGGGACTTTCCTGGGGAGAAAAAGGTTCCAATTTCTGATTGGCTGGGGGAATTGCAAATCACGCCCCGTAAAACTCTGAAATGTTTTGTGAAGCCACCATTGTATTTGCTGGCATTAGCATTAGCATTAGCCCAGCGCACCAACGGAGAGAGAATAACTTATGGCAACACAAAAAAAAACATGGGAGTGATGAGGAGGTGTCGGCGTTCTGGCGATTTACTCGGAAGGCTTCAGTAGAAGCTGCTGGGAGTCCCAGCAGCTTCTACTGAAGCCAGTTCCCAGCTCCGGGGACTTCCGGCCGGGGACTCTGGGTGGCAGTATACGCCGTGAAGTTGTTTGCGGCCTGCCAGTAAACCCAAAGCAGAAGAAGAAGAAGTGACGTCAGCAGCTTCATTTGCCTAATCCTCCCCCAGGGACTTATTCCGGTGTGAACGCGATCTACTAGATAGTTCCGGAACTAAAGATTTCCGGGAACTAAGTTCCTGGAACTTTTCCTGGGAAAAGTACTAAAAATTACTAAACAAACACACAGGAAGCATTCACACACTGGTGTGGTCGTCTTTCAAATGTTATAAAGGTTCTTTGTCTTGCATCGGCCCCCGCAAACACCCGCCGTTGCGAGGCTCCGGCGGGTCAAGCACAGCGCCGCTGTGAAAGTCCACCGCCGTTGTGAAAGTCCACCGCCGTTGTGAGTCTCCGACTGTAACAGTCCACTACCGCCCGCGAGGACCCAGGTTCGATTCCGGCCTGAGGTCCAAAAAATAAAAAATAATAATCTCCCGTTCATCGCGTCCATTCGCAACCCACCTATCACATCTCTGCGCCCCACCAGTGAGGCGCGCCCCACACGTTGAGAAACGCTGTGTTAGACTACCATTCATTTTTATTCTAGCTGTGGGATTTTGATAGATAGTTTCAATGCACTTAATTGAGTCCTTATTGAATCCAAACCGCTCCAGTACTAGATAGAGAAAGTTCCAGTTCACGCTATCAAAAGCCTTTTCAGCATCTAGACTTACCAAAAGAGCACTAGTTTTTTCGTTTGTATTGAGTTAATAATTTGCAGAGTCCTCCTAATATTGTCTTGTGTTTGATGGCCCACAATAAAACCAGTTTGATCTTCATCTATTAAATCAGTCATAAATGTCTCATATCTCTTCGCTAAAATAGATGTATAAATCTTGTAGTCTACATTGAGAACAGATATGGGTCTGAAGTTGCTACAGTATTCTGTGTCTTTCCCCTCTTTGGGAATAACAGAGATTATGGCCTCCTTCAACGAGGGTGGTAGCTGCCCCTCTCTAAGAGTGAGTGGTGGTTTTACAGGAAGTGTGCATGTGTCTGAGCTGATTTTGACTTCCTGTTACAGGTAACCCTAGCGACGACCTGCGGCTGACCTTCCCGGTGCGCGACGGCGTGGTCCTAGAGCCCTTCAGATTAGAGCACAACCTGGCTGTCAGTAACCACGTCTTCCAGCTCAGAGACTCCGTCTACAAGACTCTCATTATGAGGTACACACACACACACACACACACACACACACACACACACTCACACTCACACTCACACTCACACTCACACAGACACACAGTGTAGCATTGAAGCATGGTTCAAATATCTAGCTAGCAGCTAGTGTGCTATTTCTGCTATGACAGTAAAGAGCCCCCTATCGTATGTTATTTAAAAAAAAAAAAAAAAAGATTTCCACCGAGGCAAAAATATACACAATAACACCAATGTGCGTAAACGGTGAGGGTGCCTATGCAATGTTTTCTTATTTTCTCACTTTTTAATTAATCCCAAAAACTATAGGTCTAACTATAACCCTTTCTCACAGACCATGGCTATATTATTATTGACACCCCAGTCAGTCATGTTGAGCTGAGGTGAGGTCAGCTCAACATGAATGAGTCATTATCGCCTCTCGAAGTACAAATGGTATTGCAAGAAAGGACAGCCCTGGGCTAGTCAGTTAGCATGCTAATTCAGTTCCATGCAAATCAATACATAGACGTCTTTGGCGAAAGCTCAAAACAGTACATACTTTATATGCTGTCGATGCAAGTTCCTTTTGAATGATATAAACTAAAATGATAACTATATTTTACTCCTTTTTATACTACACTGGTCAGAAAGTGTGCAGAACATAGTTATTACTTTTGAGGCGATTGAAATTTGCTTTCCTATGCTTTGACAAGAAAGAGCGGATAAAGTATTACGTTGTTACATTTACTTTGGGAACTCCACTGTTTGTTATTGTTGTTAGTGAAACCTAACTTCAGTGAGTACTCAATGGCAACAGTACACAATAAAGTGGCAGCCACTCTGATCAACCCTCTACATTGATTGAAACAGTTTAAATCTCAATAAAACATTTGAATATTTTTTGTAATTATATTTTGTATTATTAATATAGCAAAGGGAACTAATGTTATCAAATGCATGTAGTAAATTAAATGAACATTGTGTCCCTCTGAGATGTAGAAGGTAGCATAACATTAAGGGGCGGTGGTGGCAAAGTCCATAGTCCATAGGCTGCCAACTGCAGTTGTCCCATAGGGACTTGGCTTGACAACTGCCAACTGTTACAGAGGTGTCCCTGAGCAAGGCACCGTTCCCTACACTGCTCCCCGTGCGCCATACATGATGGCAGCCCACTGCTCCTAACACTTCAGAGACCACAAAAATGTCCCAAATTGGAATCAATAAAATACTATCTTATCTTATCTTAAACTAGTCAGGTAAAGCACAAGTACCGCAGAATTGTACATATATTGAGTGTTTGTTCCGAAAGATAAATATGTGTTTGTGTTTGTGTGCGTGTCAGACCGGACCTGGAGCTCCAGTTTAAGTGTTACCACCACGAGGATCGACAGATGAACACCAACTGGCCTGCCTCCGTCCAGGTCCAACCTCCACCCTTCTTTTATCTCCACGCTTTTCTTCTTAACCCTAATTACTATTATTTGGTTTTAAATGTAGACGCATACAAGAAAATGTTAACTTTGTAAAAAGACTGTGTTAAAGCTGATGTAGCAGAAGATAAGCAGTACAAATACAAAAGCATTAAGGACAAAGATAAGGTCCCCTGTTCAAAGAAAGCAATCCTTGCCTGAAAATATTTGTAGTAGGCCACATTGTGGAGCTAGCTTGCTACCTCAACAAACAGCCTATTATTTATATTTATTTAACCTTGTAGTAGCCCTCACCTTAGAGTGCCTAGTGCTCCTTTTAACATTGCTTTTAAAGAGTTTTATACACCCTTTTTAACAGCAGATTTCAAAAAATGCAAACCAAAGACACACGTCTGCCTTAAACACACAAAGATCTGAAATAAAAATAGAACCAAATTGCTACATTTCCCCAAGAATAAAAATGTACGTCCTGGTGTAACTATCCTACATTTTTAGAATCTGGTCCTGATGTGGTCTGTTGGAAGAAATTATCCTTTCTATCCTAAATAATGTCAATCTTAAATTGTAGGTATTGTGGTTTCAGACACAGTTCCTACCAGCACTGATTAGAATCATAAAGAACATGTCATAGGAGGATACACCTGAAGGCTCTTTCATTTAAATGTAAAGTTAAACGGCAGAAACTTCTGTAAAGTGTGGTTCGATATCTAAACTGATAGCTATAAGAAACAGACATAGCATAATTAATCTAGAGAGGGAGCAAGAAAGATAAAATAAATACAAATGTCCATAAAAGTTTGGCTTCACAGTTAGATACATGTTAAAGTGAGGTATTTGGACAGTCAGGTGAAAAGATAAGGAACAAATAAATGTTCCTTCAGTTCAGCATCTTAGAGTCTGTAATAATAGAGGGTTTACACATGTTACATTTGTATTTCCTTCTCTTCTCCACAGGTGAGTGTGAATGCGACTCCTCTCACCATCGAGCGAGGCGACAACAAAACTTCCCACAAGCCTTTGTACCTGAAGCAAGTGTGTCAGCCGGGCAGGAACACCATCCAGATCACCGTGACCGCCTGCTGCTGCGTAAGAACACACATGGACACACACTCACGGACACACACAGACACACACACACACACACACACACACACACACACACACACACACACACACACACACACTGTTTACATGTATAAAGACTCCTGCATTAACTTGGTCACTCAAAACATTCTCTGCAGCATTTAGCTTATTGTGTGTGTACATATATATATATATTATATATATATATATATATATATATATATATATATATATATATATATATATATATTTGTATGTATATAGTTTACTTTACCTGCATTACTTGCACATTGGCCTCGCAACGCAATCAGCACTATTTTATAATTTTATATATATTATGTTGCAATGTTGGAGGAGCTCGGGACTTAAGAATTTCATTTCCATATTCACACTGTAGCTACTGTGCATTTGACAATAAAGCCTTTGAATTCTAAGAAATATTAGAGATTTAAAGTAATGTGTGATTGATCATCCGCTCTGTTTCTCTCCAGTCTCACCTGTTTGTCCTCCAGCTGGTTCATCGTCCGTCGGTCCGTTCAGTGCTTCAGGGTCTGATGAAGAAGAGGCTGCTGCCTGCAGAGCATTGTGTCACTAAGAGTAAGTTATTTACCTGAGGCTAATCAAACCAGCAACAACAATGCTTTGTTGGACAGGAACTTGAGACACAAAATAATGGAGCCATCTTGGCGTGGATTCTGCATTTAACCCTTCCTAGTATTAGGAGCAGCTCAAGGGCACCACAGCAGTACTTCCGGGTGTCCGCGGGGTCTTAAAAGTTGATAAATCAATTTAGCGAAAATGAAGGCTATTAAAAAGTATTAAACGGCATTTTCCAAGGTATTACATGTTGTAGCTTGTTTTCAATAAGTATATAAATTGTCCAAAGAGGTTGTATTCTACAGTGTGCCTGAATGTAATCATTGCGTAGGTGTGTAGTGTGATTCTGTGTAGTTTATTTATGGCATGCCGTTGGATTTGACGTCATCTGAACAGGACATCGCACGCTCACTGCTTGATAGTGCGCAAAGGTCCGTTTACGCCGGTTGTTAAACAACATCGTTATGGGGAAATGCAAGTTTGCGTCCAAATGGTTGGAAGATAAGGAGGAAGGACAATCAATACTGTGTATAGTAAATATTGCGCCAATGTAACCGGTTAAAACTCCAAGTGGCGATGAGGTCTTAAAATGTATGGAAAGGGTCTTAAAAAAGGTCTTAAAAGGTTTTACATTTAACTTCAGGATTCCTGCATATACCCTGTACTTCCTCAATCCCTACCAACTGAGCTACTGCCGCCCTCAATGCACAGGTGGATGAAGTATTCAGATCTTGTACTCAAGTAAAAGTAGAACACTTTTACTTGTACTCTGTTACAAGTTTTGATTTTAATTATTGATGTGTTTATCAACCTGGTAAAGGTGCAGCTAGTTTTAATGACTTTGACAGATTTAAGTGTTAAACATATTGTTTATCATTAATCCAGATCTGCAAAGTAACTAAAAGTACTTCATTAGTGTAGTGGAGTAAAAGTACAATATTTACCTCTGAATTGTAGTGGGGTAGAAGTAAAAAGTACTTAAGTACAGTTCTTGAGTAATTGTACTTAGTAACTTTTAGATTCTCCCCTCCATCGTTGTACATCACTCAAAATGTGTTTTTGGGTCGATGTGACAGATTTTGATAGAGCAGGTCACAAATATCATGCTAATACATTTTAACACTGCACGCCTAAGTGCTCAATTCAGATGAATTGCATTAAATCCAACTTTTTTGTTTGGCTTTTCACATAATTTTTTTTAATGTGGCTAATATCTGATTCCAGTGTGAAGTGTGTGTGTGTGGGTGTGTGGGTGTGTGGCTATTTTTAGAGACATGTTTGATTCGAGTAAAAGTCACTTTAAATAAACCTTTATTGATTTACCTCTTCCTTTTCCGCATATGATCCGTAATAGTTATGAGGCTGTTGTGAGCTTATACTTCCTGTCAGGATTGGGAGTATTACTTTTAATGTATTTTGTTATAATCGCTGGCTACATGTAAAAAAACTGTAATCTAAGTATCAATATAAAAGTAATGTAACCTGATCACTTGTATTGCTTACAAGTGTATTATGTAAGACAACAGAACAATTGGAAATCAAGATATTTAATAATAAATACTAAATAAAAGGCTTGGCATAAAGGATAATAGTTTACAAATGCTGTTTCACATTATCATTAAATAAATTGGGTGTTCCCATACTGCATTTAGAAATGATGTGTTTTTATGTTTTAAAGCTCAGATAATCCTCCCTGAGAAACTGGGAAATGATAAAGACTTTAGGAAGTCATGAAACACTTCAGGGCTAAAATGTAATCTCAGTGTCCTTGTGTTTTACATTCTGCTGTTTATTCTTTCACAAAGACACGGAAGTATCAGCCTTATGAAAAGGGTTTATTCAATCTGTGAGTTTCAATGTTTTGTTTTTGTTTTTATGTATTTAAATGTATTCTCTCCCTCAGTAAAGAGGAACTTCAGCAGCGGTTCCATCCCTGGGACCCCTGGGCTAAACGGAGAGGACGGCGTGGAGCAGACAGCCATCAGAGTCTCGTTAAAATGTCCCATCACCTTCCGCCGCATCCAGCTGCCCGCCAGAGGTCACGACTGCAGACACATACAGGTCAGACCCCGCAGCCAATCAGGACGCTCCACACCGGTCTTGTCACAGCAACCCACCAGGGATCGCTACAGTACAATCTATATTCTTTGACTACTTAAAACATTACATGAATTGGTGGTAATTAATGTGCATTGTCTCTTCTTAAATAGAGTATATCGAATATTTGGGGTTTTTTTTATGACACAAAACAAATGGTTATTATAACTTACATACACAGACATATAACTTCACAAACATAAATGTCAAGTAGTGTATGTGATTGTAATACTCTACATCAACAGATCACTCCTACCAGAGTTCCCGTTAGAATATTTTCGCCGGTCAAAATGTCCGTTAAAGTTGAAATCTTCCGGACAAAAGTAGAAAAGTGCCGGTCAAAGGTCTTCTTTGTTATTTATTGAGCTTTAAAACAAATTGATATAATTCGATATTAAACAAACTAATTATAGTAGATTAACTACATTATTCAGAAGTGTACAGTAACTTACAATAACACGGGAATAAAAAACGGAGTGCTCTCTCTCTCCTGACAGCCTGTCAATATCATGCAGCTCGCGGATCAGTAAGGACCCGACAGTAAAACTAAACATATCTATAACTAGTTTAGGTAGTTTGAGAGGTAATTAAAATAGCTACGTGTGATATTCTAACCTGAAGTGTGTGTTTTGTTCCGCTCACCGCTGCAGGTGATCATGCAGGGCTGCGTGTCGACTCGTCAGCAGCAGCTGATCTCTCTCTCGTCAGATTAGACTTTAGTCGCGTTTATGTCCATATCGATCAGATCTAGCTAGTTCTAGCTAATGATATGACTACCTGCTTATTAAAAGACACCTAAACAATAAGCGTCGCTATGCAACCGGGTGAGGCCACAAAGTATAGCGCAGCATTATGCATTTGTTTACATGCCCACGGGAACCCCGAGGCATTACCAACAGATCAACGCACAATCAACCCATACAGGACATCTCTTTCTCCACATTAAGTGTAGACATTATAATTGACTATTCTTGTCTGTCACATACTCTTTTGTCTGTCACATACTCTTTTGTCTGTCACATACTATTCTTGTCTGTCACATACTATTCTTGTCTGTCACATAAGTGGCGCAACTGATGCGGTATTGCGCTAAAGGGGAAATTATTTTGACCGGACATTTTGACCGGAGAGATTTAGATTTGCCGGTCTTCAGCATATTTTACCGGTCATAGTCCGGTAATTACCGGCTAACGGGAACTCTGACTCCTACATCACTTCCTATTAAACACTTATTGCAATAAAAGAAAGTCAGATTTAAAATGATGGTGTGGTTTAATAATTATAACTCTGAATCCCACATTTTAATATTGATATCTCATTTATTTATACTTGAACTTTTTGCGGTAACTTTAAAAACTATAATAATAAAACTATGATTTAATCAAATGTATCATATCATTTATGATTGTGTTAACCCATTTTACACATTGATTCTTTTTCAAAGTGGCTTTTTCTATGCCCCCCGAAATGCAAATTGGATTTCTTAATGGCATCTTTTACAATCTTAAGATTTAATTTAGGAGTTTTTTTCAAACGAATAAATAAAAGGTGCCGAACAACTCAAAATTGTTCATTAATTACCCTAAATATTATTGATGGCAATAAAAGTGTAATATTGCTTGTCAAGAGAAGCAGTCTGCCATTGGCTTCCAAAAGGATGAAATAAATGGACACATGCATTGTGTTTGTCTAAGGACAGAGGGTGTCGTTTTCTCATACTGATATTCTGCACAAACTGTGCTGTTGTATTTGCTGTAATGTGTCTTTACTGTAGGGTATTTTTATTATATGTACAGCACTTTGGCTCGACCAAAAATCGTTTAAAAATGTGCTATATAAATAAAACTTGATTTGATTTGTCATCATCGGCCTAAAAATGTACAGGTTATCTTAACAGACATCATTTAAAGGTGACCTATCATGCAAAATGCACGTTTTGATGTCTTTTATACATAAATATGTGTCCCCGGTGTGTCGGGGAACTCACAAGAAAATAAAATCTCTAAAAACGGGAGTACAACGGAGCTGATCCAGATTTGCGTCCAATATGACGTAAATTACGTCATATCGGATGGTGGACCCACGGCACTATCAGAAACTTCGCTATCAGAATCAATGCCCGACTCTTTTGGACGTAATGTGGTCTTTGTTTACATTAGCAAGCATCGCTAACACTCAGAGCTAACTTGTACTGGAGAGAGTATGTGTAAAAAAGCAGGAAATAAAAAAAGGAACTCACCTTGTGGTAAACCCGCAAGAGAAAAAACATTTGAGCTCCATACTGTTTCAGAAATAATCCTTGATGTGCTTTGGAACATGATGTGGCGTTTCATCACCGCAGCATTTAGACAGTATCTGCCGGGTCCGCATGAGCAGGCATAAGCTCCGCCCCCCTTTTTTTTTTTTAAAGCTTTATACCCCGAATCAGCACTTTAGTAAGAGGAAGTGAAATAGAGGGATATGAGGCATGGCTAGAATGGGTGATCTGTTTGGTATTTTGAGCAAAACACTTCATAGAAACGTTTTTTATATATCTAAGACCTATGCTATTGCCTAAAAATAGCATGATAGTTGACCTTTAAGAAGAAAAGTATATAACACATTCCTACAATATGTCTAAAAACAATACGATAAGAGGTAAACATTTCAACAGAAGAAATTGCCATAAATGTATTTGATATATCATAAAATCACACTGCTCTCTGTCTGTCCGCAGTGTTTTGATCTGGAGTCGTACCTGCAGCTCAACTGTGAGAGGGGAACATGGAGATGCCCTGTGTGCAAGTATGTCTCCACAAACACACTAAACGATTTCTTTACACATTTCTGATATCCTGAATAACCCGTGTGTGTGCGCCCACAGTAAAACAGCTCTGTTGGAAGGTCTAGAGGTGGATCAGTACATGCTGGGAATCCTCATCTACGTTCAGAAGTAAGACATGGCATGTTGAGTGTTAATCTTTATGTGGATGTCCATTGGGTCTTGACCATAAATTGAGTCTATTAAAATAATAAATTCCTCAGTACCTTTATTTTCCTCATACTGCCTGTGCTGCAGCACCTCTGTTCACCCTCTGTCTGAAACCAGAGCCCAGTCTGCTCTGATTGGTTATCTGGCCCGATCTGTTGTGATTGGTCAACCGCTCAGAGATGTTCTTGAAGTAATCAAATGAGTCCAATAGAGGCGTTACAGTCGGGGGGGGGGGGAAGTGTGTGGGAGAGAGACTCCCTCTGGAACTTTGGCCAAGACCATTTACATGTACAAAAACCTATATAACCCCCCCCCCCCAAGAATTATATTAGAAAAGTATACATTAAACTCTGGCTCAAAAAAGGAAACGGATGAACGACCTAGTCAGCCAAAACATTAAGAATGGATCTTCGTCAGTAATATTATGTTTGCAATACAAGGGAAGGGAATAAAGAATGTCTCTTTTTGCGAGGCGTCTCGAGCCTGGCCACCCAGAGGCAGAGAACGCAAATCAAGGCTCCAACATGTGTTCCTTCTTTACTGTGAACCAAACCCCGTCACATCAGAGGAAAGCGTTTGATGCAGGAACAGCAACATATGTTTGCAGTAGGAGAACTTGTTTTCTCAGCCAATGAATCACAAACTCAAAAATGAATCGCTTCATTTACCATCAACACTGATTGGATATCTGCATAAAAGGTGACACATTTTCCCTTATTTTCTTTGCCTGGATTAACACTTTCTCCTTCCCCCCCCCCCCCCCAGCTCGGAGTACGAGGAGATCACCATCGACCCGGTGTGCAGCTGGAAGCCGGTCCCTGTGAAGCCGGACATCCATGTGAAGGAGGAGTCTGACGGTCCGGTGCTGAAGCGCTGCCGGACCCTCAGCCCGAGTCACATGGTCCTGCCTAGCGTCATGGAAATGATCGCATCGCTAGGCCCCGCCCCCTCCTCCTCTGCCTCCCCGATGCCCTACCCTCCTCTAGGGGGCAGCAATAACAGCAACACGCCTGACTACCCTGGACCAGGTACACGGGAGACAAGATCTGATTGTCTAAAATGTTTAAGTAAGAAACAATACTGGAGAAATTACTTTGATCTTTTACCTGAAAGTACAAGTATAAATATTGTGGTCTTAAAATACACGATTATCGTTTTAAAAAGCACCAGGGCGAGGTCGTGGTGTCCCTGAGGCGCTGAGCATCTTCTACTGCTCATCAAGATTATAAAAAAAAATCTTTTTTTCTTTTGCTGATTTTCTCAAAATGTTGTTACATTGTTGATACACTTGGAAGAAAATCTGGCTACCTACATCAGTATCTTTCTTTTGACAGAGTAGGAAAGGTAACTATATTGTTCTGATCTGCTTTGATGTATAACATCTGAGGGTTTTTGACAGAATGTGATGGAGTTCCATTCTCAAAGTTAAAAGGCAAGGTCACTCCTAAAGGTCCAGTTAGAGGGGGACCGGGTCTCATTGGTGATCTGATGAACTGCAATTCATTATAATCGGTGCTACAGTTCACAGGAAACAAAATCGTTTTTTGGAACCAATGAAGTGATGCATTTATGGTACCCTTCTTCCTCGAAAAATGTTGTCTTTCGAGGAGGAAGGGTAGTTGTAGTATGGTCCGCACCAGAGTCCACAAAATTGGGTAAATGCTTCTAGGTTCGGTTAAACCAAACAAAACAAGGTGTTAACATAAACAAAATCTATTGATCCAAAACCTGAAGAAATGCCACGTCTGATTTGTGCTTGACACAATATAGTGGAACATTTTTATTAATCCTTTAAAAAACGCAAACATCTTGCAAGAAACAGCATCTGAGGGCTTCTTAACATGTAATAAACTATGAATGTGTCATATCCACTTAACGGGAAGAAACTCAGCTATCAGACAATATTAACCATTTTTAGCTAAACGAAACAAAAGGGTAATAACAAAGGCTCTGAATTAGCCCTGAGCGAAAGAATGCTAACGCACTTAGCACAGAACTCATGGTAAAATACCCTTAATACTTATCGTATCTGCACAAACAAGATCTCGATTAGCAAGCTCAGATTCCACAGATTTCAGACATATAAGTATCATCACTGAGCGATCAGAACTCGCGGCAAAACGACAACAAACAACAAAATTAGCTTTACTGAGCCAAAACGGCTAAAAACGTCTTACCTTTGTTGTTTTCTGATCAAACGTTGTGTTCAATGGCATTAAAGGGATAAAAACGCTGCTGAAGGTTAATCCATAGGTTAATCCAATGTGTCTGTGTCACTTTGAAATGATTACTGATAATCCATCATTCCATTTTTATGTCAATAACGGAGATTTCATATTAGCTGCTACGATAGCTACTAGAGTGTGACAGCTTCCGGTTCCGGGGCATTCTGGCTACGCATCACTCATTCACCAATGGGTAATGTTTAGATGGATTTTAGGAACGTCCCCCTCGATTATATTGGCTCTAACGGTTAAAAAGAGGTGTCAATCATCAAAATCGACCGAGGGGGGCCAGAGATATGGAAAATGCACCCAAATGATTTTTTTTCTAAATCTCTCTAAAAAGTCAAATGTCACTTGTTTTGCATCAATCTTGATACAGGGTATAACATTATATGTTATAGTTTGGATTCCTAAAGCTTTTAGTCTCCGATCTCATCATTCAAGGGTGGTTGATTCTGACTTTTCTGCATCCAACTCACAGGTTTATCATTGCTTTGAGAAAAAAGATGATTCATTTACCCCTTTTAGAAGTGAAGATAATAGTCATTTGTTCTGGGCATGTCATTTAGAGCCTGAGGCCTGAAAAACAGGCCCAGGGCTAAACTGGCTAATTGATCATTGTATACGAGCAGATGTATTAATGTGTGTGTGTGTGTGCGTGTGTGTGTCCTCAGCTCCGTCCTATCCTAGCCAACATAGTTTCTCAGACTTCAGTGGTCCCGGGACTCCGGGAGTCGGGGGGGACTTCTCCTCCCCCGGTCCTCCCCCTCTCTCCTACCAGTCTGAGCTCTCCAGTGCCCTCCTAACTCCCGACAAACCACCCCCCCACCCGCTGGCTGGACAGGTACACCATCATCAACGTCCTCATTGACATCTTCATGTTTTATGAGTTGGGAACTCAAATTGTCAGTGTTTCCTTACTTCCTCTCCTCTCTCCTTTCGTTCCCTCCTCTCAGATGTCGGTCTCGAACCGTCTGGACTCCACTTCCCATGGTGCTCCTCTCTCCCAGCAGCAGTCGCAGGGTCTCCACGGCAACTCTCAAATGGGGGGCGGCAGCAACCAGATGATGCAGCGTAGCAACCAGAACCCCCGTCTCCAAGGCGACAGCTCCTTCGGTCTCGGGGGGTCAGCAGAGGGTCCTGAAGCGTCTCTGGACGTGAGTAGAACCAGACTGAAACTCCACTGTCACTAGATAAGGGTCCAACCTGTAGCGCACAAATACAATGCATCAATTACTATATATATATATATCATATCTGCATAGTGACAGCTGTCATTACTTTGTGTTAGGTTCAAAGGAGAGAGGATGCGTTTAATGAAGTAAAGGGTTATTTCATCCACCACTGGCCAACAGACTACAGTATTTAACCATGATGTGATCACTGCCTGATGCAGGTTCTGAAGAGAATTTTAACTTCAAACCTTTAAATGAAGTATTTCTTAATTAATTGTTTAATTTCATCTATGTACATGTATTTTGTGCCTCTACTGTGACATGTTTCCATGCTTTAATTTTCAAAAAGAGGTGTGTGGGAGATAACTCCCTCTGGAACACAGGGACTTTATCCTTTGGGACCATTTACTGTACAGAAACCTATAGAACACTACAGGAGAGGGGAAACTGCTTTTATTGCCCGGATTCTAACAGAAACTCATCTCATCTGGTTTTTTTCTGCAGTTGCTTCCAGAGTTGACCAACCCAGACGAGTTGCTGTCGTACCTCGGACCTCCGGACCTCCCGAACAACAACAACGACGACCTGCTGTCGCTGTTCGAGAACAACTGAACACATGCAAACACACACCTCCAGACATGAGACAGAACTTTACTGTAAGATATGAACTCTTTCTCTCCTCGCCCGCCAACATGACTGGCGGTCCAACATGGCCGTCATCTGCACAGGATGGAGCGGAGGATTAGAAGGAAACAAAAAAAAAACTTTTAAATATGAAATCTCTTTGGTGTGTGACGATGATGGTAACTTTATTTTATTGTTTTTTTTTTTATTCTCTGAAACTGTATTTTGATGTTTCCTACTCATTCCCCGGAGTCGACAACCCTGCCGCTCACAGTAAGCTCTGACTGTTTCAAGTTGGTGACCACCACTGCTTTAAAGGAAAACTTCTGTATTTTTTAACAGGGACCCAATTTCCCCATGTTTTGGTGTCTAACTGACAAATGTTAACCATTTTTTAAACTGGGTTAGTATTGAGTGAGAGCTCCGCACTGTTGAGGTACCTCCACTAAAAGTTATTTTCTAGCCACTGACAGGGACGGCCTACATTGTTATTACATAACATTTTATTTCGCTTTAGGTTTTCAGTCGAGGTTGGTCACTTTTTACCAGAGCAGATTATATAAAGCATATGAAAGCATCGACTGCTGGATTCTACCTTATTTTACCCTTAAGCTGCATTCACATGATGCAGGGTAAAGATCAGAGGACAGTTGTATGTAGCGAGCAGGGGGGGGGGGGGGGGGTAACCATCGGAACAAAACGTTATTCTGTCAGCTGCAACCCAAGGGACTTGGTAGCAAATAAAAACATGGTTCAAAAACAGGATTAAAGGTGAAAAGCAGATTCAACTTTCATATCTTTACATAAAAGTACTTTGTAGCAAAGTAACACGGCTCGAGAAGCTGACACAATATACGATAAGAATATATTGATATATATTGTCACTAATTTGCTCCATTATTTGTACACCGCCGTGGTTTACTGCTAAGAGAATAAGACAAAAAGGTCAAACAAGAAATAATTGCCAAAAGAGGACGAATTAAACATCAGATATTATTTTTATTTATAAGAATACATTAAAGCTACACGTTAACTTATTACAGAAAGGTATTTATAGTCCGATCTACTCATGCCTTACATGGGCAGTGATATTCTAAGCCTGTTATTTTAATCATTCAGTTTTTTTTGCCAGCTGTCCCTCCTGCTTTTGGCAGCTGCAACTGTGTTTCCTTCAGGCTCAATTATGTGTTCTTCGTATCTGTAATGTTATAGTTTGCTTTGCATTAGTCAAATATGCTGCTCTGCTTAGAGTAGTAGTACTTGTCCATGTTTGGGATTGGTCAATTTCGCTCTCTGCATACAGACAAGTTTGTTCTCTTAGCTTAATATCACTCCAATCAAATCCCCAACTGTTCACTCCAACAACAAAAAAAGCTGTGTTCAATATGACTTGCTGATTTATCAAATATCACTTTTTCTACATTTAAATCTTCTGCTGAGGTATTCCAATGAAGCTTCAAATATCTTTCGTCATATTTAATGACATCTTCCTAAATCCTCGAACCAAATCCTTGACTTGAATAACGTTTCTTAAATTAGTTGGTGTTCTTTATTAAATCAGCGTTCTATAAATTGGTATAACTCATCAGTTATGTAAGATGCCAGCCACCTTTTGTGCCGAAGGGAAAGCAATAGTTTGGCCGTAGTGAAAAAGTTGGTCGAAGGGCTCGACGTCAATAAATATGAATTCAAGCTTAAAATGTCCTAGATAAAGACATGCTGTGAAAACATATCTATATTTTTACATGAACTCAAATAGAGTTATTGGACATTTTTGGATAACACGGAAACTAAAAAAGGGCTCATCGCTCAATGTAAAATCCTTAGGCTCAATTTCACTCCCCCCTCAGTGTGTTTCTATAAATATAATAAGGATAAAGAAAATCAAATGTATTTACTTTATATTTCCCATGATCCGTCGTTTTTTCTTTTTGTTTTTAAACCTGCTGAAGGACAAGTCTCCTTCTGTAATCTAGCAAGAGATGACTTGTCAAAAGCGGCTAACTATTCAGCCGTACATCAATAATCTTTTGATACCTCTTTCTGTACCCACACTCAACTCTCACTCACCACTTTCTTCAGAAATCAAGTCACCTCACGTCAGATTTAAGAACCGGAGCCTGTCGGGGACAAAACTAGCTCAGCTAAAAACACTTGGAGGACGCACATCGACGGGGCTAACTGGCTGCAGCACTCTTACTCAATACTGGACCAGACTAAATGAAATGTTGTCCTCATTAGTCACTATAGCCCTATTAGCACGGGACTATTGTGACCTGGGGACTTCTAGTAGTTTGTAATGAGTGCAGAGATCATCTGTGATCATAACCCCCCGAGTCTGCCACGTTTGAATTGGTCAATTCAAAATGTCACCTAAAGTTGCCGACCTTATTTTATTTCTGTTAGTTCTGTGTGTTGACATTTATTTTGGTTCTTTTGCAATATATTTGTTCCCATGTTTTTTTGATTGGGTCCATCTGAAATACTGGTCCTGTGTGAACCAGTTTTCAGATACACACACAAAAAAGTGAGACAAGATTGAAAAATACAGAAGTTTTCCTTTAACCAGACACACACACCCCACTCCCCCCCCGTCACTGCTGATCATCCAGCAGCTTTTACACTTCTCTTCAGCAGGTTTCAGTTAATTCCTACCAGTCAGATTAATTTAATGTTGAGCAGAGACGGGATGTGAGTTGTGATGAATGAGCGGCGTGGTCCTTTTAAAGGCAGAGTGTTTCTGGTCCACACGTTTTAAATGTAAAGGTATAAAAAGTAGAAAATTAGCTTTAAAGGAGCATCTGTTCCGTCGGACATTTTTGTTTGTTTTTCATCTGAGATATGTGGAGACACTGAAGGCACCATTTACACCCAGCAACAGCGACCAAGCTTTTTCATGTTCATTTTTATTTTGTATTCTCCCACCATTGATTGTTACTGTTGTCATGGATTTGAAGTTTCATCTTAAATACAGAACTGCAAATAAGTATCGTTTTTTTGTTCTAAATGTCGGATGTTATTCTTTTATACATGACAGATAACATGGTAAGAATATTTTTTGTAGAACAACAATGTTAAAATGTTCTTTAAAACAACCAATCAATTCATTTGTTTTCCACTTTTGATCCATCGATTCAAACAGGAAGTTATATCCATCCCCTGATCACTCCGTGTATTGTTTAGCTGTTGTGTGACTGAAACAGTAAGTTAATCAACTGTTTAATTGTCCGCAACCATTTAGATAAAATGTCAAATAAAAGTCGGAAGAAAATAGGTTCCATTTACCCAAAATGTCTATGCGATATCTCTGGAAATCTTGTTTTTTCCCAACATACAGTCCAAATTATAATAACCTTTAATTTCTTCAAAATGTTTTGTCATGTAGGCGCTATTTAAGTTAATCGGCCAATTGCGGTTCATATCTGCATGTATCCAAATTTCCCTGGCAACGCAACCGCAAAGTTTTGTGATGCCAAACCAGGCCAGCGGCGTAAATGAAGGGAAGGAGGCTCCTCCGTTGCTTCACACACCCATCTGCCGATACATTTTGATCTCCAAAGTAGATTAGTCAAAGAAATCCGACAGACTCATTATGTGAAAACAATACCAGCGTCATGGTTAGTAAATCCGCAGTAATGGGATTTAAAGAAAGATAGAATGGATCACACTACACGTTGGGTTGCTGAGTGTAAATGAGTGTTAAGTGACATCTGGATAGACATCTCTCAGTATAAAGCTTTTGTAAAAGTTTTGTCATGTGAACTCTGGGGCTTTTAACCTGGAGGGTCGTTGGTGTTCTCACTCCTGCAGTCAAGTCTTTTGGTGAGGTTTAACTCACCCACCCACCCCATCATGGCACAAAGACAGTCTATAGAGCAACTTGTTTTGGCACATTTGTTTTGACAACCTTCACGAAGAACGGTGATGTTAACAGCAGAAGAAAAATATGTGACAAAAAGCTTGGAAAGTTTCTGTTAATGCCTAGAACTGTTGCTCTGAGATTACAGAGCTCCCCCGAGAGCCGTTTGTTATGTTCGAGTTACTGAGGGGTCATCTTCATCCTCCTCCTCATTATCCTGTTTGTTGTGAAGTGACTACAGTCCTGACAGTTGTGGTGTCTCCATGTCTCAAAAATAAATCTGTACATGATCACACTGTATGATTTAGTAATAATGTCAATGACAAACCATTTGTAATTTAATAAACACACACTGGAAAGACACACAGTGGCTATTTTAATAGTCAGTTATGCATAAGCTGAATGAAATGTTTGCGAAGAAGTCTGGAGGAAAAAACATGAAAAATAATCAAAAGGAAGATTACATTTAAAATCAGTTATTAATCCCATGCTGAAATATAAAACATTACAGCAGCAGAGGTATTAGCTAGAATTTGCTAGAATTATTTTAAACCAGCAGAAATACCAAATATGATCCAGTTCTAGCTTCTCATATGTGCTGCTTTTCTCTGTTTTGTATCACAATAAATTAATATCTTTGTATGTTGGTGTTGGTCGAACAAGACATTTGATTGTGAACATTGTGATTTTCAGTGTTTTATTACGGTGCACGACAACGCGCTAAAACGGTTTACAAAAACATTTTGGTTGACACTTGTTGACGTTCCGTATTTAAAAAGTTGGCCAACTGTCACTGTTGGCGAAGTTAGGCTGTTTCATAATTGTGTTTTTTTCCCTATATGAAATGACTAAGTTAGCCACGTTAGCTAGCTAGCTTAGAGCAGATCTGCAATAATATCAGCAGGAATCATGTGATCACATTGGTAAAATAAGCCAATAAAACTTACATTTTAAGTATGTTTCCAACAACAGGGACAGTTGGTCAACTTTATATCCCTGAATATCAACAAGCGCTCTGGTCCCAGCTTTGTACGACACTTTTTAGTGTCCCATGGTTTCCGATGGGTTTTGAGATGAGAGTTTTTTGTATTTGCAGCGTTTGGTTTATGCAGCTTTTAGTAAAGGCTGCTCATGTTTCCTCAAGTTGATGAATGTTTTCTAAATCCTGCCCATGTGTTTTGGCACTTTCGTGTTTTATAATTTGCACTATTTTTGAAATTGCAGTGCGTTTCTCCTAACGTGTTTTGGGCCCTTTTGGCCACCGTATTTGATTACTTTTTAAAGACTAAATGAATAATCAGAGTAGATAGTTCAAAAATGTATAAAGATATATATGACTTTATCAATGAATATCAAGGCAGGACATCAAGATTTATTTTAAAAATAATAATAAAGTAGAGCATCTAGTAAATGCACAATTATGACGCACATCTTACAAACATTTGTATTGACAGGTGAAATTAGCACATGCAGAGAAATACAGATAAGATAAATAGATGACTTTATAACTGGAAAACTACACATTACCACCAGCAAAAAACAATAGGTGAGAATAGTTATATTAGAACAAGAATAACATAAAAAACAAAGGCTGAATCAATACTCCAACTCTACTTGTGATACATTGATAGATATATTTAGGAGTAGGCTACTTTAGTAATACCAGCAGAAAATTCAAAAATGACGGCAGCTGCAAAAACTAAAGTACTTATTGAATAAAGAGCTTAACAAATCACTGATAAACAATTACAATCAATATAGTTGGAATAAGTATAACTCTATAAAGTGCAGTGCAGCAGTAGAAAAGTTAAACCTGGTTAGGTGAACATATGGCAGGTTGTGCCAGTTGTACTAGTAGTAAAAGTGAATAATATAAAAATAATTACATGGGTGGATCTACTGGTTGGCTACAGTTTACATCTTTTAAGTATAGCTATGCTTTAAGGTTCACCTCTAAAATCTACAATCCAATACCACAGCTCAGTGAATATTTTTTTCACCACTTTTTTGGGTTCAATTTTTAAAGCAACTTCAGCAGCCCTAATCAAAAATACCAAATATTTAATCATTTTAAGGATTTTAACCCTTTAAATGCCATTTTAAATAAATGAAATCGCTGTTGTTTTTCATGATAAAAACAGAGAAAATGTGTTATTTTCCATAAAATACATATCTGGGGACTGGCTTTTTTTTTCATCACAGTCTTGGACATGTCAAAGATTAGCAACAACATAGATTTTTATGCATTATTAGTTTTTGCACAGAATCAGATTAAACAAAAAAATCCCTAATTAGTCATTCGGGACAAAAATGTCCACTTCCAAAAACTGCTATAAAATGATAACAAATTTGTATTTTTTTTTTACTTTTTGGGGTTAAATCTTTCAATCAACTTCAGTCCTGATCAAAAATACCAAATATTGAATTATTATCAGGATTTTAACCCTTTAATTGCCAGTTTGAAAACATGATGTCACGTTTTTTAAGAAAAACGTGCACAAAAGGGCAGTTATTTTCCATATAATAGATGTTTGTGCAGTCAGCTTTTTTTTTTATCACGGTCTTGGATATGTCAAAGATTAGCAATAACATTGACTTTGGTGCATTATTAGTTTTTGCACAGAATCAGATTTAACAAAAGAATCCCTAATAGCCACTCGTGGACAAAAATGTCCCATTCACTCCCATTATAACCACATATTTTGATCTCTCCGCCATACCGGTATATAATCATGCATTTTGTAATTTCGGGGTTTTATTTTGGAGGAAATGCGACATCATGTCTTAAAACTGGCAATTAAAGGGTTAAAATCCTGAAAATAATTCATTATTTGGTATTTTTGATCAGGACTGAAGTTGATTGAAAGATTTAACCCCCAAAAGTTTTTAAAAATATTAATCTGTTATCATTTTATAGCAGTTTTTGGAAGTGATCATTTTTGTCCCGAATGACTAATTTGGATTTTTTTTGTTTAATCTGATTCTGTGCAAAAACTAATAATGCATAAAAATCAATTTTGTTGCTAATCTTTGACATATCCAAGAGTGTGATCAAAAACAAAAACAGTCAGCCCCCAGATATGTATTATATGGAAAATAACTAATTTTCACTGTTTTTATCATGAATAATAATATCGATTTAATGTATTCAAAATGGCATTTAAAGGGTTAAAATCCTGAAAATTATTAAATATTTGGTATTTTTGATTAAGGCTGAAGTTGCTTTAAAGATTGAACCCAAAAAAGTGGTGAAAAAATTAAGTTTTTGGCAGTGGATATTTTTGTCCCGAATGGTCAATTAGGGTAGTTTCCACAGAGAATTAAAGACCCATTTGAAAAAATGTAATTGGAATTCCAAAAAATCACGCCATTTGCAGTAACACAACCAAAGTTATTGCCAAATGAAACGTGAAAAACGTCTGGTTTTAAAGACAAAGCAAACTTTAGACATGGTGAACTTTCCGTGATGACTTAGTTTTTTATGCGGAGAACCGGGCGAACCACGCCCTGACCGCGTGGTCGCGCATTCACATTTTCCCCCTGACAGTGGGAGCGAGCTCTGACTTCGGGACTGTACGCTCACCCCTTCGCGTGCGCTGCTAGTATTGGACGCCCCTGCAGTCAATTATCCGTGGCGCGCGTTGCCCTGGTCCTGGGGAGAGGAGGTTTTCTCCACCCTGACAAAGAAACGGGGGGTGGTGTCTAAGCAAACCTTATAACTTCCAACCTCCGCCCGAATCGGCCCACTCTGCTGTACTATTCAAGTACGCCTTAGAATGTGACTGCCCAGTGGAAAAGGGGGTTCAGCTGTTCAGCTGCTGATTCGCTAAAACGGGTGCCAATAAAATACTACATCGATACCAATTGGCTCCTTGTGGCTTTACGCCGCCTACCGTCGTATAATATAAAATGATTTCACACACCACCGTCTTTTCTCGGTTCCTTCAGGTCAGTCGTATCCCATCCCCGGAAAACCAGTTCAGTCCACACTCGTCAACTCATCCTGCTGAAATGTCGCGGCCAAGAGTCTTCTTCGATGTCACCCTTGACGATAAACCCATGGGCCGGATTATTATGGAGGTAAACCGTCTCAATGATGCAAAGTATTTATAACTGGGAGTCCTCACTGTCAGACACGTTGGTTATTGGCCTTGCGGGCTTTTAGTCATCACTGTGTACTTTGTCTTTATTTATAACAAGCATTAAGTCTCTTTGGGCTGCTACAAGTTGCACCCTGGTTTAAAATGTTAACTTTTAGTTGACACGCGGTAACTATAGCCGAGCTGTCACGAACACTGTTTCCTTGAATGGACCATGTGCACGTGTGTGTGCCTTGGCTCGGAGCCAGCGTTAACCAGCAGCATAACGGGACTTGACGCAAGTGCAGATGTGGCTTTATTCATTCGTAAATACGGAGCATATTCTTTAGATTTTAACCGTAGTTTAATGTTATTGCCATAATTGGCAGTTTGTTAATATCTCGGCACAATCATTTTGTTATATATTTTTCAGCTGCAATCTGAAGAGTAATCTATAAATGCCATTGCTTTTCTGGATCGCAATATTTAGTGTTATTCTTTTTAGGCGTTATTAAATACATCTAAAACAATTAACCGCCTGTTTTTCACACAATGGGGTTGAGCTTAAGTGCAAACTTGCATTAGCTTGCGTCACGCTGAGGCCCACAAAAGGCCCGCGGTCCTGGTGGGAGTCGTAGAGAATCGTTCTGCCCGGTTATCAGTTATTCGTCTCCAACGAACAGGCTAACGGGCTCAGCTAATGCTAACTGAATTTGCAGACAGTTAGCAGCGCCGTCCTTTGTTCTCACGAGCCCGGGTAACCCCCGCTGCGTCAATGAAACTACTACAACACGCAAACGACTGCACTTTTTAATTCCATCTTAATGATTAATTACCCTGAAAATAACAAATTGTGGTCAAAGTCTAACGTTAAAAATATACAACTTGCACGGCATGCTGGGTTTAGCATGTTAGCCGCCGAAGCTAACTGGGCCGATTCGTGTGGTTCTGAAAAGTTCCATGGGGGAGGGGGATATCTGCATGATAAAAATGCGGATGTAGGCCAAAACAACTGCGATACTTTTTTTTTTTCCATTCCTGCTCCCACAATGATTAAGCATTGTTGCATAATCCACAATATGGATTAAATGCATAATTGTTTCACCTGCTCCTTGACAAACTAAAGTATGATACTGTGCTAGCTAAAACATCCAGCCATTTTGTGCACACAATTGAAGCTGAGCCCCATTATGGGCGTTCCCTCTCCGAAATAATATTGCTTAAATTTAAGACTAACTCCCTTTTTCGAGACACTTCAAAAAACTGTGTGAAAGTTGGGCCTACTTTGCTTCCATGACATGTCTTTTTCAGACCTGTGGGGGAAAATACCCCAAAATACACATGTAGTTGTTTGTTTTTACCACAAATTGTCTTATTTGTATACAGAATTCGTTAAGCTCAAGTTAGCTTAAGTAATTCCTTATTTTCCTATTTAAACATAACTAATGAGATAACTTGTAATGCATACAATTATTGGCCTATTCAATGTAATTTACTTGGAAAGTCTCTAGTTATATCTATTTAAAATGTGTTTTTACCATATTCACCTGCAAAGAAACTCCACCTCAGCATCACTGCCATAACTCACAACAAACTATCTAGTTTCATTCCCATCTTGAGAGCGTCTGATTATTCATAGCCTCGTATAAACGTTCTTTTTAATACCCAAATCCTCATAAATTGATTTGTTTTATGTATAATCGTTTTAAACAAATGTTGAACATGGTTTTACCCAAGGATGATTTCCTTTTTCAGATGACACCAGGTTTCCTTCTGTATCGAAAATGTCTAAGTTTTGATCATTCAAGCAGTGTTTACTAGCCTGGTAGTCATCAGGACACTGCAATTATTTACAATATCTAATCTAGACAATAATCTGCACATTTCAAACAATAGTTCTACTATACTTTAATTGGTGTATTATCAAAATGGTCTTATGCTCTTGATCGACTAATTGTTGCAGCTCTACAGGACACAGCCGCAAACGCAGTCTTTATTTCTGGCCACCCTAGTGTGGTGTTGAATGTATTCTGACCCTCGGGGGGGGGGGGGCAGCAAGCTGACTGCTCTTAAATTATGAAGATGTGGTTTTTGTTACTACCGAGCAGGTGGAAGGCTGCGCAGAGCTGAGATCAGCAGCAGGCTCTCATCCCCACTCCAGCCCATCTGCTGCAGCACAACCCCCCTCCCCCCTTTCATACTTGCATGGTAGCGTCATTGCTGTCTGTGCAGGGCATGCAGATATCTGTGTGGTGCAATGCTGCATTCCTGCTTCACCATGACACAGCACAATTACCACACTCTCATTACTTAATAACCTGATCTGTGTTTAATGGGATGGAACTGCTACTCGCAGTGATTTGTTGACATAAAATGTCAAGCAGTGTGAAATGTATCTTAAAGTTGTAAGGCGATAAATCGAGTTTATACCTGCATTAAAGCGTGGCTCACACATGCAGCACTTGCAGTAGAGCTTTAAAAAAATGTTTAGACCACATGAAACAGTTCTCTAAAATAAGATTTTTTTTAATACACTTAATGTGTGCATTTTCTTTTATTGTATAATTATTCAAGATGTGAGTTTACCATGCATTGTGGAAAAACAGTGTTATGTGCCCACACGATTTGACACATTTCTGGAATTTCTACAGATGCTGGCGTTGGGCAAAACCAGAGGGGGACATTTTTTTTTTTTTAAACAGTTTATTAACCACGCTAAGGATGTCAAAGCCTCCAAACATCTACATACAGTTGGGCTATTAGCAAAAGGTGTACTGATTTATCCTTGTGCATAAATGAGGAGTTGCACAGAATCGGAACCTACTTTAGTTTTGGCTTGCTGCCTGAATGGCTACACCCCAAATGACTAGTTACTGATTTCCCAGCCTCTACCTTCTCTTTAAAGAATACCTTTGCAACCCATTTGTGCAGACTATATTTCGTCTTTTTCGCACATGAGACTACTGCTAATGTTCACTGCATTTAAAGAAACAAATAGTCATCTCAAGTGCCCCCAGTGTGAATTTGTTTTCATATTTGAAAAATGTCAATGTAATCTTGGATACTTGCCCAGTATTGCACATTTCAAGACAGTAAACAACTCAACAGATATTACTTTTTGGCTGTAATTATTAAAAAAAAAATCATTTTTCTGCAGCTCCGGGATGACGTTGTTCCCAAGACCGCTGAAAACTTCCGTGCCCTCTGCACTGGTGAGAAGGGCTTTGGTTACAAGAGCTCCATCTTCCACCGCATCATCCCCGACTTCATGTGCCAGGTAATGCAGCCATGTACCAGCTACTTCAGATCGTCAGTGCTTCCTTAGAGGCTTTTATTAAGAACTTATTTTGATTAATTTATAGATTATTTCTTGTTTATGAAAAGTTCGTATTACAGTTCTGTAGCCAAGGCTAATGCCTTCCAGTCTTTGTCTTAAGATTTCCAATTATGTGATAGAATACCTCTCACTCTGAAGCAAGACACAATTGTTAATTTTGGGTAATTATTCTGTTATCTAAACTGTTGGCTTTAGTATCAAATCATTTGAACTACTTCAGATGGCATGTTATTTCTTAATTTTAAATAATTCAAATCACCAGTTGTACCATCTCCGCGTGTAACGCACATGAAAGACACTGAAAGGTCTCTTTTGCAAGTTCTCTACCGTTCCTCACTAGGCTAATGCAACACATGCATACATTGTGTACATTGACTATTGGCAGAGTTTTCTGGGTAGGTTTGCCGAATTCTAGTTATTAATAATTATCTTGTTTGTTCAACACAAAGGGTGGTGACTTCACCAACCACAACGGAACCGGTGGAAAGTCCATCTACGGTAACAAGTTCGGTGATGAGAACTTCACCCTGAAGCACACCACCGCCGGCATCCTGTCCATGGCCAACGCTGGACCAAACACCAACGGGTCCCAGTTCTTTATCTGCACAGCCAAAACCGCATGGTAAGAAAAGTATCTTTGGTATGTCTTATGCATTTAGGCAACACTTTTTTTAATTATTATCCTGGACCCCATTTTCCAGTTTTGTGAGTGAGGAACACTTTTTGAACACTGTTAATTTAATACACCTCCACTAAAAGCCACTTTAAGGCTCAGGTTATGAAAAATGTCAGACAACATAAAGGAAGGTCCCTACAGTGATGATTTGGCCCGTTTTGTTGTTGCATCTAACAAAGTCTGCCTCAAGCTGTCTCTTGAAGTCTTCAAAAGGTGCCCTGTTTGCAGAGAAAGGTGGAAATGTGACTTGAGTTGGGAATAATAGAGTATGTGTTTATTACAGAATTGATTTTTTTGTGTAAAACATGGATGTGGATAGTGGTTCAGTGATGGCGTATTTTTGTAGGCCGACCCGGAAGTAAGCTGCGCATGGGTTCGACAAAAAAGCAATGGGATTTCTCCATAGGATTTTGGAATATTGTAAAAAATAAGATCTGTGCAAAACGAACCTGTTTGATAAATGCAAGTTTTGTTCAGCCGGATAATCTCCACATGTTTACCCTACTTTTTAGAATATCTAATCGATAGATGTATGATTAGAAAATTATAAAAGTAGGGTAGACGTGGAGATTATCCGGCTTACTTCCGGTTCGGCATACAAAAATACGTCATCACTGCACCACTCTATTAATCAAAACGTATTTGCAAAAAGACGTGGCTTTGAAAGAAATGCCCCTAACCCATCAACAATTTATACAATTATCACACATTTTTGTTAAAATGCTAGTTTCACAGAGAATTCCAAAACGTTGAGACCTAACCACCTCAAGTTTTAAGGCCCCGACACACCGGGCCGATTTTCGGCGTCGATAGATGTCTGGCCGTCGATGAGCGTCCTGTCGCCCTACTCAGATTGGTGTGTCCCGACCCGTTGTGTGTTTTCGGCCGTGCCGACACCTTCCGCCGCCAATTCAACATGTTGAATCGGTAGGCTGTCGGCTAAAGAAATCACTCTGATTGGCTGTTCAGCTTAGCGAATCAGTGCATGAGAAGCGAAACGGAAGTGAGGGGCCCAAACAAACGATTAAGAAGGCAAATCTGAGATTTCATTTAACTCCAGCTCTCGACACAGGTTCGGGAAAGCCCCATGAGCTTCTCACTGTAGAGTGAAAATGGAACGCACACGCTATTTGTTGTTTGTTTATATCACGCAGTCTGTTCTTCTTCTCTCGGTTATCACGCAGTCTGTCTTCCGGTTGTTGCCTCTTTTGAATGATGAATACACACTCCCACCGCCTGCTGGTAAGGAGAGTTATTGCCACTCACGCATGCGCAGTTCGTACGTGCTTCTTGGCCGTCGGCTGAAGTCTTTGCGGTGTGTTCCAGTGCGACTGTTGGCCAAGACGCAGAGACGCGAGGCGACACAACAGTCGGGTCCGTCGGGACGTGTTCTTTGGTGTCAGATTGGTGTGTAGGGATCTTTAGAATCAGACTTCTCCGGTGAAGACTTTGTTATACAATTTAAAAACCTACCATATCAAGAAAGGTAAATGGGTTGTAGCCTATGTAGTGTCCTTTCTAAACTGTTAGACACCTAATGGCGCATTTCCACTACACGGCCTCGCTCGGTATGGCTAGGCCTCGTTAGGACTGGCTCACTTTATGGCGCATTTCCATTACAGTTTAGGAACTGGGGTAGTATCTATAGTAACGCAGTGTAGGCGGAGCCGTGACGTCATCTTCAATGAGAACCCCAGAAAAACAACACAGCCGTTAGCTGTTAGCACTCAGAGCTCACAGCTCCTCATATATGTTCAGAAACTAGACAAAAGTTAAACAAGTACAAACCACAGACTGCCTGTCATGGCGAATACAGTCGCTGCTTTATTTATGTCTGTATAGGCCGTTGTTGTGAGTGTGGACGGTCGGAGCATATACTGCGTTAGCTTAGCCAATCTCCATTTAGAAAACACGCATTTTAAAAGGTTTTTCGCCTGCCGTCTGTCTGCAGACTTGACAAAGCATTAATTCATGGTTTTTACTAACCGGTATCAGTATGTTGTTACTTCGGCATCATTTTGAAACGTGTATTACAATTAAATCACGGTCAAATATGTCCATCTTGTTGTAGTTGTAGCCCCCTTGCCAGCGATGCTCTCTCTAGTTTAGCATACTCAGCCCGACTCAGCCTCGTTGTCTCTGGCCCGAGAACCACGATTTTATGAGGCCAGAAAAACTGTGAATTAGGACCCGCTAGCCGGTACTAGGCCAAGTGGAAACGCAACCAAAAACGGGCCGCTGACGTCACAGCCCTCTTAAACCGTGCTCCGCGCTGTAGTGGAAACGCGCCATAAGAGAACTGGGATTAAAGTATTTGACTTGGCTGCGAAAAACAAGCACTTTTTAGTGGATCTATATGGAGGCTGTAGAAAAGGCAGCTCGACAAATTTTCAAAAATGGTTGTCCCCGTTATGCTGCGTTCACACCGGACGCGATGCGAATATTCGCTTCGCTCCTATCGCATCGCTCTAAACGCCCGAGTTTCACCGCGGCTGCCAGCTGTGTTTACTCGCATCATTCTAACAAGACGCGCTGGCTCGGGAGCTACAACTACAACAAAATGAACATATTTTACCGTGATTTAATTGTAATACACGTTTCAAAATGATGCCGAAGTAACAACATACTGATACCGGTTAGTAAAAACCATGAATTAATGCTTGACAAGTCTGCAGACAGACGGCAGGCGAAAAACCTTTTTAAAATGCTTGTTTTCTGAATGAAGATCAGGTCGACCAGGCTAAGCTAACGTTGTATATGCTCATTCCACACTCATAACAACGGCCTACAGACATAAATAAAGCAGCGACTGTATTCGCCATGACACAGACAGTCTGTGGTGTGTACTTGTTTAACTTTTGTCCAGTTTCTGAACAGATATGAGGAGCTGTGAGCTCTGTGTGCTAACTGCTAACAGCTAACGGCTGATGTTTTCTGGTTGAACGTCAGTGACTGCAGGCTGAGATCCTAACTCTCGCGTTTGACGCGGCACCGTTCAATCGCGTGATTCGCGCCGCGTCCACCGCTTCATGCTCGCCGTCGGAGCGAATTCGTGTCTGTCCGCGTCTCTGCATTGACTTTACATGTAATCGCGCCGCCCCCAAACATCGCATCACGTCCGGTGTGAACGCAGCATTAGTCACACAACAAAGACGGGTGTTTTTCTCATCTTTTTACATACAAAATATCATGGCCTGCGGAATAATACAATGGAGCACAACCAGATGCTTGTTTGGTGGTTTTCTCAAATATGTAGTTTCCATGTGTTACCACAGCTGCTCATTAACATCTATGTGTGTATTTGTGTAGGCTCGATGGAAAGCACGTGGTGTTCGGCGCCGTGGTGGAGGGTTTGGACGTGGTGGCGGCAATGGAGAAAAAAGGCTCCCAGAGCGGCAAAACCAATGGCAGGCTCGCCATCGCCGACTGCGGGCAGCTTTGAGCTGGAGCTCTTAACCCTTTCTGCTCGTCCTGTAACCCCCTCCCCATCGCCATTCCACATTCCTGTTGATGGAGATTCAAATGACCCCCCCCTTCACCTTCCCTCTTGGTTTTTTATTCTGTTGAAATCATGTTGCTGCATTTGTGACTTTGCCTTTTGAAGTTTATTTTGCCTTAATGTTTGTTTCCACAAAGTCCCAACAGTTTTTTGTTAATTCAAAAAATGAAGAAAGTAAAACTGAAAAGTTGCCTTGACAATTGAAACGTGTGTGTTTTTTATTACATAGAAACTTAAAAAATATATATTTCTTATTAATTATAAGATTGTCTAAAAGCCATACTAACATCATGGTCAGCATTTTACCACCAACATGATAACTTCATCACCGCACAACTCCATCGTACCAGTGAGTTAGAAGTGAAGGTCAGCATAGTTTCAGTCCATACATGAGGGTATATTATCACTGCTATTCATATCCACAACTCCTTAAAAATGTTCCACAAAATTAAGCGGCGATAACGGAAAGGATGTAAATAAAACAACGCTGCTAGTTTAGAAACTGCCTGAGCTATCATGCCAATTTAATATCGGTTGAGGCCGGACCAAAGCAAGTTGCATCTTTATAGAATAATTGATCTCAGAAAAATATTTCAGGTGGCTGCTCATTCAAAATGGTGATGCTTTTAAAACCAACACAATGGGCTTAATATTTTAAACCAGACTTAAGCTTTTAATCTTTTTACAACTTTTGGAATTTTGGAAAACTTTTCATCCGGTTTAGTTCCAAGGTTGGAATACGCTTGATCTTATAGTTTAGAGCAGGGGGTGTCCAAAGCTTTTCACTGATGGCCACATGCAGAAAAACATACGAAGGGCTGGGCCTCTCACTAGAGGTGAGGTATGTTGAGTTATAAATTGGCAAAATCAAATGTCATGATTGAATTTGCTTTAGGAAAAGAACATTTAGACTAAACCGTGGTTGTCAAGTGTATACTATTGCTATACCTATTCTTTTGCAATTTAATTTCTAATCCGGTGGCAATTGAGGATGTAAATCTGAAAATGATCGGTTATGCTATTTGACTTTGAACGTCTTCTGAAATAACACTAAATGAAATGTCCAGCAGAGGGAGCTCTTGAGCTTTACAGTGTTATCTGCAGTCATTTTAGTCCAATGATTTTTACAGTGGAATGTTTAAAATTATATTTTATTTTAAGAAAGGCTTCATAGTTAAATACACATTTAAATCTATTAATTGATTACTTTAAATCAAGCTCTTAAAAATCCTTAAATAAAAATATCCATGTGAAACACATTTCTCTTGTTTTTCACATAACGGATCAAATATAATCTGTCAAATTATTCTAAGGGTCATGCATGAAAGGATCTGTGCTATATTCTGTTTTACAAGGGATCCATGGCAGTAAATTAATACAAAAATATTCATTAGTTTAAGTCCAGAAGATATATCGGCTATCAGAATGACATGGGTTTGATATCTAGATAGTCAATAAAAGATTTACTCAAGCCTTTATTCAACTACAATTCCAGAGGAACTATGCTGTATATTTTCCTTACCTATTTAATTCGTAGACCTCAAGTCCAATGGGTATAAGATAAACATGCAAATACAACTATGGATCTAAATCTGGCCAAAAGTTTTGGTTATTTGAAAAAATAAAATGCATTTTAAAAGTTTTGATCCTGAACTTTAAAAATCCAATGCATTCTAACTAAACATAAGTATATGAAAAGATTTTCATGTTGAATATTTGTATTCAGTTTAGTAATTAATTTGAATGAAATTATTAATTTTCACATTTCATATAATTATATATCTTGATATTTGAGTATTTTTTTCAGTTGCAGATTTTATGCTTTAAGATTTGAAACTATTTTTTGTCAGGTTCTTATTTTTCCTGTTTCAGAATGTGTTTCACTGAAACTGAATCAAAATACTATTTAACCTGAAGCAACTTTCCATATACGTATTTTTTCATTCAAAGTCAGGTTAAAAACAAACTTGAACTTTCAAATACATTTTATTTTTTCAAATGATCATTACTTTTGGCATGGATTTAGCTAGATACAACATGTTATGCTCACCAAACCATAACCTACGGTGGCCGAGGGGTGCCAAAGCGCTACAACGACCCACTTCCATTTGGAGAAGCGCATGCACTTTCAAAAACGATAGAAATATAAAAACACTAATGTGCCAAAACAAATGCAAATGAAGAAACGTCTTCACCAAAATGGTGCACAGAGTTTCCTACAACGCTTGGTCACGTTCAGGATTATAAAATTGGCCAGCTGTCACTGTTCACAGAGTTAGTCTGTTTCATAACTGTAAGTGTTTGTCAGTATATTTGAAATGACTAGGTTAGCTATTAGCTAGTTAGCTTATAGCAGATCTGCAATACTATTGGAAGGAATCATGTGAATACATTGTAAGAGTAATCCAATAAAACGTACATTTTAAGTGGGTTTCCAACAACAGTGACAGTTGGCCTACTTTATAAACCCCGAACGTCAAAAAAAGCTGCGGCCCCAGCCGAGGTCGCGTAGTGGTTCCCAAAGTGGGGGGCGCAGAGGCATGACCATGGATGTATAATAAGAACTGGATACAGCGTGGGAGGCGGGGCCTCATTCATTCCTATGAGAGTTGCTCATTCGCGCATGATGATAAAATGGCCCAACTTTTGAGAGAGCGAAACGTCACAGATTACCCGGCATGCCTGAGAAGTACCCGTATGTGCGCTCATAGCGCATGCGCAACTTTAACCATGCCCCCCAAAATGCTCGTTCACATCAAGCACGTCAATTTGCGTACACGTAACAGCACCGCACGTTCATGACCGCATGGTAATGGTTTGTTATTATGATAGATTTGATATTAACGAGGCGGCAGCTAGCGGTTAGCTAGTAATTATGCTAATTTACACATCAATCGTTATGTACTTTTATATTACGCTGTAACAGGATCTAGTGATATCCAAGCAACAGAGCTTCATTTAGCATGAAAGAATTATTGCACCGTATATATATGTATATATATGTATCAGTGACGTGCGGTGAGGTTCATGGCTGGTGAGGCACTGACTCTTTCAGAGTCAGATTTACAAATATTATAGCCTATTTTGACCTTAATCGAAATATTCTGTTATTTTCAAAAGCTTTTTTAGTCTGATGCTATGATTAATTTTAAACAGACCGATCAACAAAAGGATACCCAAATCTAAATATTGGATTGTTCTTTCTAAGTAAGATCCCATTTTCATTACAGTTGTGGTCTTACCTTGACTTGAAGATGAATATAAGTCCATGCTATCCTTCTGGACAACAATCTCTATTACTGTTTTGTAAAAGTCCTCCTTATCTTCCTGTAGTTTCAAAAGTCTAGTTTGTTGTTTGCGGTAGAATAACAGTAGCAACAAGAACCTGTGGGCTCACGTGCGCCCCCTTCAGTGCGGCAGAGGTTATGGCTGCCTCTCCTGGTGCTTTTTTCATTGCCGTTGTACGATGAGACCAGCGAGCCTAAATATCATATATACGTGAAATAAGTTATTTAGAGACTATGGATGGCGAGGATAAATGTAATAAAGGGATCTACAAACATTACATTGGTGACCTACAGTGAGATGGGAACAGGCATGCGCTTAGGGCCCGCTTTCCAGACAGTTTCTGTGGGGTGACGCATTCTGAAGTGAGGCAGAGCTCATCTGTGCCTCACCTCACCCCACAGTAAATGGCTTGAGCGCGCTCACAAAATAAGTGGCCGCGCTAAATTAGTGCCCGCGCTCCAGCAAGTTACTGTGGGCTTACGAGAGGCAGAGCTCGTCCCTGCCTCACTTCTCATCGCTCCCGTAGCGGAGCTCGGCAAATTTGCTGATTTTGACTATAAAATGCGATTGGAATAATACAGAAATCACATTTACACAAGATCAGTGGAGACATTTTATTATTATTATTATTTAGTTTTTCTTTAATTGTTTTTCCGTTACATTGGAGTATGACAGGTGAGGCTCTGCCTCCCCTGCCTCCACTGACTGCACGTCGCTGGTATGTATATATATATATATACATATGTATATATATATATATACATATATATATATACATATGTATATATATATATATATACATATATATACATATACATACATATATATACATATACATATCTATATGTATATATATATATGTATATATATATGTATATATATATATGTATATATATATGTATATATATATATGTATATATATATGTATATATATATATATGTATATATATGTATATATGTATATATATATGTATATATATGTATATATGTATATATATATATATATATATATAGGCTATATATATATATATACAGTGCAATAAGCTTCTTAGTGCAATAAGAAGCTACAGGAACGCTAATCTACGTCGGTAATATTAACTTTAATACAACATTTACGGTACAAGATTTAATCATACAGCCCATGTAGTATAATATTTTACAAATGATGAATTACAGCAAACATGTGCAATATATCCATTATTACAGCTCCGTGGGCTGGCAGTAAGGCGATATGGGTCCGTTCTTATTGTGCATCCAAAGATAAACGCATGTAGTGCTGAACGCGTAACATGAACGTGCCGGGCGGCGCGGTCCCGTGGGTTAGATGCGCGTTCATAATGCAGAGGGAAATAACTCACAGAATAACGTTATTAGCACATTTTTACAACTTGAGGAACGAATGTTTTTAATAAGGGCTATACAAGTGTTCATACTGGGTAGTTTATTTAGTTTAAAAAAAATTATCCAACGATTTACAGACCACTCTTTCCCCATGTAAGTCAATGGGAAAAAGTGTTTCCGGGCCTGGCAACCAAAAGGAAGTGTAGTACCGCCGTTTGGCCACCACGAATATTTTCGGGCTTGGGCATGACAGGGGGGGCGCGAGAGACCAGGAGGAAAAATGGTTATTAAAAAAAAAAAGAAAAAAAAAAAAATCATAATTTGAAAGATTATTGATTCGAAAATAATATGATACAGTACAGTACTATTACGTCTGGGTCTCTGTGTTTCATTAAAGCTTGGCTCTGTGTGTGTGTGGAACGAGCCATTTTGTGTGCGTGCGCGAGCGAGAGAGAGAGAGCGCACCGGTACCGGAGATCGGTGTTGTTAGCTTCTGGTGCTAGCGAGCTACGCTAACGGATATAAGGAGTTTTTTCAACAACAAAGTGGAGGAGAGTCCTCTCCTGTCAGACTGAGA